GAGCATGCTCAATAATCGATCGGTGCTAGGTATACAGATATACTCTACCAATCTAGATGTAATCACAGTCATAGAAACCGAGCTGAGACAGTCTTTAGACAGTGAGAAACCTGATTTTAAAACTTTTACATATATATTAGCCGACAGAACCTAGATGCATAAAGAAGGAGTAGCTTTACTCATTAGAAATATCTTCCCATTTACCTATATTGATAACACAATCCGTGAAGGTTAAACGTGCGGTTTAGTTGCAGCTTGAAATGATGATTGATTTGGTCTATCGCAGTCCAAACCATAAGGTGAATTATGTCTTGTCGGACGGCTTCAACATTTGATCATCAAGTTGTCCATGTTTAATCTTAGGATTTTAATGCACCTACGGTAGGCCGAAAAATCTGAAAACTGAAGTGTCAGAAAATTTCTTTGAACTGAAACTAGTTGGTGCGGTTATCACATGTGCCCCAGTGTAACATTAGATTGGGATGTATTCAGATATGTGTACGTAAAAGTCACTGTACCACGCATTTTTGGACTATACGAAAGGGTTCGAGAAACTTCCGACCGTGGTTCAGTAGAGAGGTTCGCACTCTTCTCCGTAAGAGTAGAGGAATTTTGGGGGGGATTTACGTTATTAAGCATTGACGAAACTAAGCCTCAAAATCTAGAAGCTCAAAATATTTGTCCCCTGACCCTCTGAAACTCTAGAAGGTTGTACGAAGGAAAACGTGTTAGAGAATCTATAGAATACCCAAAACGCTAATGCTCGTACATAAACCAAAGGACTAAGAGAAGAGGAAATATTTCAGCCTTGTAGGGAAACAATAATGTTGTATCACTAGTGAGAGGCGATTATGGTAAATCTCAAACTGCTTTAGCAATGTATATACCGAAAAGACACCCTTCCTTTCAGTCCATACAACCCCCAAACACTGTGAACATTAATGAACTCCATGTCTTTGGTCTGCTAAGTGATCTTCAGATAGATAAACCCACAGAACTCGATGAAACTCATCCTAGGTTAGTAAAGGGATTCGCAGATTTTTCCGCGAATCCCTTAAGTACATATTTTGATTTATCTGTAACCCAGAGTCGATTACGAAAGGACTGTAAGATTCCTATAAGTCTTATCTTTGAAGTTAGTACGCGAAAACTATCAACCCGTAGGCCCAACACACTTGGCTGTCAAACCTTTATAAAAGAGTATTCGGAAAGTTATGTTTAAGTATCTCGACGAAAACCGGGTTCCTTCTAAAAAGTAGCATGGCTGTAGAACAAGTCATTTCTATTTCACTAACTTATTAGTATTCCGTGAAAGTTGGTGTGCTCATAAAGATCAAAAGTTACCCACAGATATAGTCTACGTTGAATTCAGCGAGGCTTTTGACAAGGTTCTTCACAACCGGCTGTCATATAGATTAAGTAATATCAGAATTGAATGCAATTTATTGTGGATAAAGGACTTCTTAGTTGAGCGTCGACAAAGAGTACGGGTGGTCCCAAAGTAGTTTAATTGGCAAACTGTACTTAGCGGAGTGCCTCAGGGTACATTTTTAGGCTAATGTTGGCCCCCTTGTATGTAAATGACCTTGTTAGTCTCTTATCATCATCGGTCTTGTTATATCCTGACGATGTCAAGATATGGAGGGCGATAAAGGGTAAAGATGATAGTTTGGAGCCTCAAAATGAACTGGAGAAGTTATCTGAATTGTCTCAAACTTGGCAGTTACCGATAAATACTTCCAAGTGTATTGTGATGAATATTAGTCACCAACGTACAGTTACATACACGGTCAATAACAATGAGCTACCTGTTGTCCAGACATACAGTGACGTTGGAGTCATCATTGACCAAGAATTATAAACTGCTGCACACTGCCATGCGATAGCCACCAAAGGTTGTAGAACCCTATGGTTAATAAATAGGGCCTTTAGCCATGTCGATTCTAAGGCCTCTTTTACTTTGTGTACAGTATTCGTTCGTCCCAAACTCAAGTGTTGCACACAAGTAGCTAGCTCCTGTCTAAAAAACTAACCTGATTCCTGGAACTGCAAGACTTCGACGTGATGATGGACCGGCTAAACTAAACAATTTTTCCTTGTCATATAGAAGAACCAGTTTTCAATTACCTAGTGAGTTTACCAAATAAAATAGATGGGCCACATAATCTTAGCAATGCTAATAGTGCCCATCTGACAGGCATATCTAAAACTTGGATATCTTCTCAGTTTACGGACCGGGAGCCAGCAATACCAGGAATGCCTCTGTTTCGCAATGACAGAAAAATAAGGAATTGGGGGTGGAGTAGCCTCATACTTACGATCCTGCTTGGAGACACATCAAGTGCACAACCAAGAGCTTATCAATCTTGATGAATCAGTATGGTGCTCAGTAACATTGTCTACCACCTTGAGGTGTCTAATTGGCGTCATCTACAGGAATTCCACTGCTGACATCAAGTACGACAATCGTATGTTGGAAGGTTTTTCCCGCTCTACGCTTCTCGGATTCACCCATATCCTGATTCTAGAGGACATCAATTTTCTTAAAGTCAATTTCGCGGAACATACGTATATTGGAGGTGAAAACTCAACTGAAAGTCAGTTCTTCTACCTCATTGCACGTGCTTTATGTGCTACAATGCAGTCTGTACTTCCGATGATCCCCAAAACTTACAAGCAACCTACAGTCATCAAGAACCGCACTCCTCGTTTGCTCAGCGTCAAAATGTACTGCTGGGCGGAATACAAGCAAACTGATGATAACGGAACATACAGGCCATACAAACAAATAAGGAACATGTGCATAAAGGCATTAAGAGAAGACAGACTTCAGTACCACATAAAGCTTATGGATAAATTTATCTCAAATCCGAAAAGCTTATTGAGTCATACAGCCTCATTTCGACAAGCCGAAATTGGAGTTTCCCAACTTCCAGGTCCTAATAGCTCGACCAATAACAACAGTGATGCCCCTAACCTTTTGACCGAACAATGCTCTCGGACATTTTGAACGTCATATAATAACTACCTCGACGGGAGCTTCACCTAATACTCAGCAGGACTCTCAAGAGTGAACCTGGGCTCTTGGTGTGTCAGGAACTGCAGCACTCAGGCAAGGACACTTATCTTGTCTCGGATATGGTCTATTCTGTTATACTGACGGAAGCAGCTTCAATTTTGGCGAAACCGCCTGGCTTGATGTTCTCACATTCACCAAGTCGGGGCGTGATACTAGGAAATCGGAAGCTGGTTCACATTAAACCAATTTCCGAAGTAGGTTGACGCAGCGAACTTTCAAGCCACCGGTCAGTAGAACTTCTTTCAACACCCTCAAAATTATGGAGTCCCTAATTCGCGACGGTTTACGTGACTGCATCTTATTTATAAGATTCTTTTCATCCCAACAGCACGGTTTCAGAAAGGTTCACTCTCGTATAACCAATCTGCTGACCGCGGTGGACATATGGACAAGCATCGTTGATCGCAAGGGGAAGGTGGACATCATTTACCTTGAATTCTCAAATGCTTTTGATGGGGTCAACCATATATGTCTTGGCAATAAGCTCAAACAATTGGGTATCAAACCACCTTTAATTAACTGGCTCAGTTCATATCTGACAAATCGACATTTTGAGGTCAGGGTTAACTTCATCTTCTCTCAGGCTATGGAATGACCTAGTGTGGTCCCCCAAGGTTCAGTACCAGGATCCCTTCTCTTCTTGATTTATATAAATGATCTTCCTCAACAAGTATCGTCAAACTTATTACTTCTTGCTGATCACGTGAAACTTTGGAGAGAGATACGCAACCACGAGGATATACTGGCAGTTCAGGAGGATCTGACTCGATTTCAAATTTGGGCAGACGATAACAGACTTACATTTAACACCTCAAAGTGTAAAGTAGTCCATCTGCGACACGTCGCAGATTACGGTTACAACTCAGGAAACTCCTCTCTAGTAGTATCCCTAGTCGAAAAAGATTTAGGAGTTCTGGTGCCCTACGAATTAAAGTCTTACGCCAACTGTGACAGATATGCCTTTCAAGCAAACCTTGCACTGGTAACATCGAAGCGCATTTTCGGCCAGTTTGATGGAGGAACTTTCGACATAATCTTCAACAGTTGTTTTCGACCCCATTAAGAGCGTGGCAATATTGTGTTTCTACCCTCAGTCCAAAAGGATAAGGACACTCTGGAGCGTATCCGATGGTGAGCCACGAAATCAGTTCGGAGACTCAAATTTAAACCTTATGAAGAGCGCCTCCAATCACTCGACCTTTATCCATTAGAGTATAGGCGTCTTAGAGGTGACCTTCTAGTGGCTTACAGTATCCTTAACACTTCTCGACATCACCTTAAACACCTACTTAAGCTTAGTCCCAACACTAACCTAATGGGTAACACCCAGAAATTAGAGATCCAACATAGTAGGACGGACTGCAGGCACAACTTCTACTCCTTAAGAATTGTCAAATGCTGGAATTCGCTGCCAGCTGAGCTAGTACAAGCAACTTCCCAGGAGTCCTTTAAGAGGCGACTTGATCTATTCTTAATGACTGAGGATAGTATCTTACTATGATTTACCAATTCATTTTTTTCTCTTTTGTCGTTAATATACTTAGATTCTTGCCTGGAGGTATTGGTGATCCCCTGCTACTAGACACGGAAGCCTGTTAAGCGAAAGCTTCTTCTATTCCGTCCACAACCATTTGAACCATATAGGCGTTGAATAGCGGGCTCTTAGATTTCAGAAGGTTGAAGGTCGCGCAAAGGTTCCGAAATCGCAGTGTGTGTTATATTCAGTATGCTTTTATTCGATGAAGTTGTGTTCTAAGTTGGGGTACATATCATGTATATAAAAACGTCACCTTGCAAAATAGTTGAGTCACCATAGACTGATGAAAATTTATCGATTGATTCATACGTTATGGCAAAACAGTTTTTTTGTTGCTTATATTTGTTGTCTTGCATATTAGTCTTACGCTTGTTTTGTTGGTTCAATGTTTTCCGCGGTTGTTACAAGATTCGGCAACTCATTGCTACGAAGTTATCTGTTGGCGTTTTGTCGTGTTGTGATTTCGTCCGGTAATGTCACATTTATGCTTTGTTCTGTATGTCACTACACATTAGAAAACATTCTTGTGGTAGGTTTTGTCAAATATATGAGTATGGATAGCATCATTTTTAACTTAAGTAGCGTGTCATGAATTAAATCATTTTACTATTCGGAAATAAAATCATTATTTAAAAACATGTCTTAATTATCATAAAAACTGTCAAGTGATATAGGTAGTTCTTGCCCACATATCATCAATATTCCGTACTGTCTTCTGGTTAGTAAACATTTATTATAATACCCAAACATTTGTTTCAGGTTTAAAGTGTTCTTAACGTACTTGAAAGTATCTGTGTGAGTACGGTTTATTTCTTATTCTAGGAATGCGAGTTTGAAAATCTGTTCAATTCACAATAGCCTTCTCAGAACCTACACTGTGTATGAGGTACTTATCAGTCTTCAGTAACAAGGATAGTAGGTTGGTGAACCTGTGTTAATCCTAACAGATTGCCTTCCAGTGAAGGTCCAGTTTCTCCTTGAAAATATTCACTGATGGGGCTGATACCACTTGTTCGGGCAAGGCGTTCCAATCATTGACTACTCGATGAAAAAAACGGAACCCCACTTTGAGTTTATTAGATCGTGGTTTATGAACCTTCTTGCTATGACCTTGGAGATTATTAATGCTGGAGGGAGCAAAAAGATAAGACATATTAACACCCAAATCATAATTAAAGATACGAAATGCCAGTATAAGGTCACCTTGAGTCCTACGTTCGACAAGGGGAAAAGGTTTAGGCGTTTTAAACGCTCATCGTAAGGGAGTTTAGAAAGACCCTTCACTAATTTCGTTCCCACACGCTGGACACGCTCAAGTGAGTTAGTATCCTTTACCAGACATGGGCTAACTGCTTGGATACAGTACTCTAAATGTGGTCCTACATAAGTGGGATATAAAATCCAAAACATTTCCTCGTCAAAAGATTTGAACGCTCGGCGAAGTAACCATAACGCACGAAAACCTTTGACAGCGGCTGCGTTGCAATGCGTAGTTGTTTTAGGTCATGACTTATCATTACTTCTAAGTCTTTATGTTCTTGAACGCATGAAAGAGGTTTACCATCAATAGCATAATGGTAACTATTGCCGTGACCGATGTGCATTAGCACACTTCCTAGAATTTATTTCTAAACCCCAACCTCCAGCCCATCTAACTCAATCGTCTAAGTCAGCTCGAAGATCCAGATGATCAACCTCACTTCTTATTGTTCTCCAGATTTTGACATCATCCGCAAATAATAATGTCGACGACCTAAGCAACAGCGGTAACTCATTTACGTAGAGAAGGAAGAGCAGTGGGCCTAAGATGATGCCTTGGGGTACACCACTTTTGACCGGCGCCCAATCGAATAGCGTCCCATTGACCCTCACTCTGCGGTCACAAAAAGTTTCCTATCCACTCCTGTACAGTACCTATTATTCCGAAGCTTGTGAGCTTCTGCATAAGACCTAAGTGTGAAACCTTGTCAAATGCTTCGCTAAAATCTATGAATATAACATCGACAGACAGACCTTTATCTAAGGCTGCTGTTCAATCCTCTCTCGCAATAAGTGAGTTAGTCAAGCATGAACGCTTGTCACGAAATCCATGTTGTTCAGGAGCTAACATATTGTGTGAATCTATGTGGCTTAGCAACCTAACCCGAATTATCTTTTCAAGTAACTTAACGACAATGCTAGTCAGACTGACAGGCCGGTAATTAGATACGATCAGTCTCTGACCATCCTTAAATATAGGACTGACAATAGTATCTTTCCAATCCCTAGGGAGTTGAGCGAGTGAAAGGGACATGTTGAAGTGTCGCGAGCGGTTTTGAAATAATGTCCGCAAGAGATGACAGCAGCCGTTAGTCGGCCATTAAGTAGTTCTATCCCATGTATTTCTTGCAGATCCGTTCAAGTTTGCTCTTACTTGCATCGAGGATGATTTATTGTAATGATACGTCACTTAATTGGCAACTTAATCAGAATTGAAGACTACTAAACGAGTTTATTTCCTACGAGAAACCGATTAAGTCAACATAATTATAATAAAATGAACTAATCTTATACTTAATTACGAAGTTACTCAAAACCATACCTATGCTCATGTGTTATGCTAGCATACAATTGAGTATAAATAATCATAATGGGAAGGGTCGTCAACTTGTTCTGCACAAATAACATGCTAAGATGCACAATAATTTGCATTGTATTCCAAGTCGAGAAACTTCATATTAGTCGAAATGCACAATACGATGTCAGGGAGTCAGGCCAACCTAAGCACTGTACCACACTTCGTTTGTGGTTGACGGAACTCCAATCACTAACATCCATCGACGTCTTGGACGATGGGCAGAATTCTTTGAAGGGCAGTTCCACTGGCCTGCTGCTCCGGCAACATCGGTCAGACTGTCCTGCCCTCCATGGCCGATGACGACTGATCCACCAAATGGGGCGGATGTCCGCAAGGAACTCCAACTCTTGAAACGTTACAAATCACCGGGCCCAGACGACTTACCTCCGGCTCTTTTTAAAGATGGTGGTGACTTTCTGACTAAGGGACTGACGACGTTGTTTACAAAGATCTGGGAACTAGAGTGTGTACCAACGTCATGGAATGAGTCGATAGTTGTCCCTATCTTTAAAGAGGGTTCACGTCGTTTCTGTAACAACTATCGGGGGATAAGTCTACTTCCGATTGCGTCCAAGCTATTGGCTTCCGTCATAGTTCGTAGGTTGTTCAGAACCCGAGAAGGATTGACTCGCGAGGAGCAGGCTGGGTTTCGTTCTGGTCGAGGATGTATTGATCATATCTTCACCCTCCGCCAAGTGTTAGAACACCGCCATACTTATCAAAGGCCAACAATCGTAGTGTTTCTTGATATCAGGGCTGCCTTCGATTCGTTGGACAGAACTGTTCTCTGGGATTGTCTATTGAAGAAGGGTGTGCCTGAGAAGTTTATTAACATCCTAAAAGCCCTATACACAATTACCTCAGGCAGAGTGAGGGCATACAACCACCTTTCTCCATTATTCCATTCGAGCAGTGGGGTTAGGCATGGTTACACAATCTCACCATTCCTCTTCAACTTTGCCATCGATGACATTCTGGAAACAGCTCTGATGGATGTAAGTAATGGTGGAGTGGATCTGTTGCCTGGAGAAAGACTTCTCGACCTTGAATATGCGGATGTTATTGTCTTACTGTGCGAGAATGCCGAAGCCATGCAATCCGCACTTAATCAGTTGGCAATCAGTGTCCGTAGGTATGGTATGTGCTTTGCACCTTCGAAGTGCAAAGTTCTTCTACAAGACTGGCAGGATTCTAATCCTGTACTCACTCTGGATGGTGAGTAGATTGAAGTAGTCGAGAAGTTCGTGTATCTGGGTAGCTGCATAAGTGCTGGTGGTGGTGTGAGTGATGAGATCAATGCACGTATAGTGAAAGCCAGAGCGGCTTATGCCAATCTGGGCCATCTTTGGCGCCTTCGTGATGTTAGTCTGGCTGTAAAAGGTCGGATCTACAACGCGACGGTGAGAGCAGTTTTGCTCTATGCTTGCGAAACCTGGCCTCCGAGTTGAGGATGTTAGACGACTCTCTGTGTTCGATCATCGCTGTCTCCGATGGATCGCTGACATCCAGTGACAACACCATGTCAGTCATGCAGAGGTTCGGCATCGTGTGTTCAGGCACGGAGACGATAATGCAATTGGTGTCACCATCTTGAAACACCGACTTCGGTGCCTTGGATATGTTCTATGAATGTCGTCCCAGAGAATTTCACGTCGTGCATTATTTGCCGACTCTGGAACTGGTTGGAAAAAGAGGAGAGGTGGTCAGTATATGACATGGTGTCGTGATATGAAAGAAAGCTACAAAGGGCTGGCTTTTGTTGGTCCTTCACGACTCCCTGGCTGGGGTCCGAGAGACGGTGTAACTCAGTGGCTAAAGACGTTATCAGATATGACTCAGAATAGAAGTCAATGGCGATCCTGCTGTAATCTTCTTTTACTTTCTTCATAAAAAGTGGTTGTATCTTCCTTAACTGAAAGATCTCTTCTGATTGTACCTTTCCGTTTTCCCCATCATTGTTCTCTCTCTTTTTTTCATAATTCCCCACGTTCATTACCTTTTTTTTCTCCTCTTCAAATTCTCATTGTTTCGTGTGGCGCATATATATTTGGTGCCCTCTGTACCAATATTTATGTGTTCAAATAAATAAATAAATAATACACTTCGTTTGTCCTAGACTTGAGTATTTTTGACCTAGCAATCATAAGTATTTACTGGATTTGTGTATGGTACACACCATAACTTCGAGTTCTTCCTACTCGTTTCAAACAATTATTGTGGTTATTATCATCCTGAAAAAAGTATATATTTGCAATTGTACAGCTTTGAAAATGAATTCACCGACGAGATCTTTTCGCTAAACCAATATTTCTTATTTAATGTATTAATGAGTGTATTCCGTTTACTCAAACATAATAAACATATCCTTGCATTCAAGCTGTGTAGTTGTTGAGTAATTATTTAGCATATCACCTATCAACAAAACATGCTGGTTCAACCCTATTAATTATTATGTAGCTTCTGTCTCATCTCTGATCAAGTGTTTATTCTGAATTGGAAATCCTACAAAACTACTCAGTATTTTCGCTGTAGTTCTCCACAATTCTATCATACTCAAAGCTGTTAGATACACAAGTCTCTTCTCATGAATGCTACGCTAAATGAGTGAAACGTCAATGTTTTTACCAATTCGTGTTGCTACATTAGTATCATTGTATAAAAGATATGTCTCACGACCAAACATTTGTGTGTACGTGGCGTGTTAATCTGTAAATACTTTTGTTTACACTCGACTAATTCATGTACTAAAGTTAACATCGCCTAGATAATCTATTTAGTCATTCAAACCAGCCACTCACTCACTTTAATTAAGAGTTTGTAGGGATTGCCTAAACATGTGATTTATAAGTAATTTTAGGTGTTAGTTCGCTCCGCGTAGTAGAAACTTATCAGCCGATGATAGGTTTGCTACCATAATGAATGAAATAAAAATTTTTAAGGTAATTTAAACGGGAAATTGTATTCCCAAAATTTTGTATAAATATAAATATTGAGTAAAAACAGCAATACCTTTTCACAAAATAAAAATCTATGATTATTTTTTTTGTAGTTTCAATGGAGCATACCAGTATCAACTATCCTGAGATATATAAGGATGAATCTAGTATAGAGGAAAAATTTGGTGTTCAGGTAGGTGAATTGTTTCTTCATATTTTTTAAACTACTCATTAAGGTTGTATCATTCCAAAACAATGCTTTTAATGTTTATAAGACTTACATAAACAAAAAGCGTATTATATGTAATCGAATTCTGCTCATATTAAATCAATAAGTATTTGAATATCTGTCGACTGAGATGGTTAGGATATGTACTACGCAAGTCCACCCACCGACCACTTCGACGCGCGATAATGGCTAGTGCAGGAGCAGGTTAGGAGAAATCTAGAGACGGCCAAACCAAGACATGCTATCGATACATAAAGACACTGACTGTTGAACTGAGTCGTGTAGGTACATGTGGATTATCTGGTTGGGGTCCACGTGATTATGGTAACTAATTGTTAGAGATGGCGCAGGTACATTCATTCTGTCTCTTCTTAGATGCTAAGGTTCTAGATTCCTCATAATTTTTTCTTATTGTTTCACTAAATTATATTTTGTCGGATCGTATCTTGTATGCGTAGTCTCTTCTATTACCACTAATACTGCTATTACCTCTACGGCTATGGGATTCCTCCTGACAATTTCATCTCTGTACGCTAACGGGTTATGGCAACTTGAACCGATGTATGCATATGCTAGGTTCTAGGCTGCGTTCAACTGACTGAGTGTCTAAGCTCTTATTAAAGATTCTTGTGATCATTTTATAACCAGAAGCTAGCACACAAGATTACTCTGGAGTACTTAACTAAATTATTTCAACTTTGCGTCTCGTGCCTAATACGGTTTAGTAGCATGAGATATCTTGTGATTTGAAATTCGGTCACTAATTATGATTAGTTAACTTAACTTAATGAACTGACCGCAATATGCAAGGTCTATTCAGTTTCTAGTATCAGAGCAAATAGTTTTGTAAAGTGATGAGCAACCATTTTTCGTTGTTTAAGGAATGATAAAAAATTCAACATATATTAATTTGTTGATATTTTAACAATAATTTCTCATGTGAATGGCTTATCCGAGTTTTTTCAAATTCGGTAACTTAGTGTCGGAAAATTAAATTTTTCAAAATATAGTTAGTACTTATCTTCATTCTTAAGTCCATACATGTCCGGAAATTCACAAGGCTCATTTTGTGAATTGAATACACAATACGGGAGTACAATAATAGTGATGTTTAGCACTCTAATTAAAGTAGAGAACTAGTCTATTAACAATTCATGTCTTGACGTTAAATTATATACTTAATTGTGATTTTATATGTTATATGTTCACTTTGTATCGTGGGAACTACCAGTGTGAAGTAGTCTAATCTCTACTTACATTTTGGCTGGACCTACATAATTTGTTAACAAAGTAACCTTTTTCTTCCCGTTTAGATTCATGATCCTTACAGATGGCTGGAAGACCCGGATTCTGTCCAGACAAAAGCTTTTGTAAAGGCACAAAATCTGATAACGGAACAGTTCCTGCGTAAGTGTCCATACACTTCAAAAATCAGAGATAGGTAGGTGTATTACTTTAAGTTGTATTTTTAGATTAACTGCTATCTGGGACTACGAAAAATACTCTTGTCCATTGAAATACGGCTCCTTTTACTACATATGGCATAATAGTGGTTTACAAAATCAAAGGTACTTTTTTATTTGAAGAGGGATTTGTCAGTGTTCTTTACCAAATGAAAATGTTGTCAGGACCCACAAAAACGTTTTTAGATCCTAACGAAATTGATCCAGAAGGCCTTACATCTTTGAGAAACTACAGTTTTTCGGTGGAAGGAACTTACTGTTGTTATGGTCTTAGTTTCGGTGGTTCTGATTGGTGTGAACTTAAAGTAAGTTTACATTTCGTTAATGTATTTTCTTAGTTTAAAACCTGCGAATCGGGCGAAGATCTGCCAGATGTTTTGCAACATGTCAAGTTCAGTTCAATTTCGTGGACGAAGGATGAGAGAGGTGTTTTTTACTGTATGTACCCTCAACATGAAGGTAAAGCAGATGGTACTGAAACAACTACTAATACTGATCAGAAGCTCATGTACCATCGTCTGGGTACATCACAGTCAGATGATATCTTGTGCCTGGAACGACCGGATCAGCCTACTTGGAATATGTACGTATAGACAAAAGTCTTAATTAGAATGATAAATTTTTTTAATCTTTCATCTGTTAACTTAGCCTACTTCTAAAGTATGTTCTGTCCCACATTGTCTTGTTTGAAAACTTCCCAAGGCCAATTAGCTTGTTGTTTTCAAGCTTTGTTTTAGCGGTGGTGAGTTGGTTTCTTTCCCCGTTGCAATAAATCTCACTTGGTATGCATGTATGTCACACAAATCTTGAATCTATTACTTAGCAACACGTATCTAAAGATTTCATCCCCCCTTAAAATGATGTTGAATGTCGAATATTAGGTTGCAGGTGTTCGGTTGTAAGAGTCCTTAGTTGAATCATCTAACAAACGGCATTTAGGGTCAGTCTGGAGCCATTTTACGTTTAGTTGTAAATGTGAATGGACTGATATGAGTGACACATTTCCAACATCTGATGCTGTCCTTCTAAAGACGTAAGAAAATTCCAACAATGTTTTAGCTAAGTCCATTAAGCTACTAATTACCGGCTAGCGGTATATAGGTGTGGTGTTTATTTTAATCCAAATAATAACTTTTGTATTACTAATGTTTTTACTCTTGTCTTTGAATAATTTTGTTATAACGGTTGGATTTCCACGTTTACACGTATGGGTTGTAAATTTACCTTAGACGAATATCTACACTAGATACCTTTCCAGTGTCTATTGTACGGGGCTTCAGCATAACTCAGATGAAGAACACATGATTAACCTGACCAGAACGTAAATATATTTCCACACCAAAACCCGACACAATCCAACAACAATGAACAATCAATGATAATAATTACAAGGATTGGCGAATATATAACTCATCTGACACCTGTCAAACTATCTACATGTCCGACTAAGCAGACAATCAATCATTATCATTCTCTCCCACACATCAAATTTTATCTGCTATATATATATATCAATTTGCAATAATCGTATACCTTAGAATTTTGCGCTAGTTAAAGCTACTTCAGCTTGATTTTGTACTCACCTTTATACACTTTCAGACAGTAAACATATCTACCGTAACGTACGATACTGAACTAAATTAGGTTTAAAACAAGAGTTGAGGATCAAAAAACGCTGAACTACGCTAGTCTAGGCCACAGAAAGACTCAGAATATGTTCGTAGTCAATTACTAAAGATGGTTTGTATTTTTCCACTTAGTTGATGTCTTAATAACCTTTATTCATTTATTTATTTGTCTAAACAGTTTTCAATTTTTGTTGATTGTTTTTCCAATGTTTCATTTCCACAAGATCGTGTCTGGTACTCTTAGTATATATCACGTAAATCGTAATCATTAAGATTGTACGTCTTTGTTTCATTGATATGATCTCTTACACTGGCATATGTTTTCGTGTTGTATGTATTTTAAAATATCAGTCAAGGAGAAGTGTCTGATTGCGGGAGATACTTACTGGTAACTTTGTATGATGGATGTGAACCTAATAACCAGCTTTTCTACTGTGATCTCGAAAATGTCGATCTAATTATCAAAAGTTAGTTGTTACGTAACCAGTTTGTCTTTATGCATTAACATAGCATTGATCTTTAATGTATACTAGACCCAGTGATTAAGTAGTTTTTGTCTTACAATTCTTGAATTACCATCAGTGTATATCATATTCATTGTATCTATGATCTCTCAGCGAACACGACTTGGTGCGGGTTTATTTTTTAAGCCAATAAAAAAAGTTTGTAGTTAACCAAGCTTCAGGGATGTGGAAGCTAGAAACGTTAGATGAAGTAGCGTGAAAGGCTGAGGGCAGTATAACGATCAGTAAATCAGCTGAAATAATCAGTGGTTTTCTGGACAGTGTACCTTAATTCGACTGTAACTTCCCACAAATTAGATAAAATTTAATCTCTGGTTATAACATAGATTATGTCCTAATGGATATAATTTCAGTGGTCATAGTCTTCAGTTCTCTGTTTGAATACACGAAAAGCAAATACTAGGTTAAATTGTTAAAGACTGTAGTCACTGCAACATTGCCATTTATTTTAAACGAATAATAACAATAATACTTAATATTTATATATTTGTACACCATTATTATGAGTAAATCAATGAGGTGATTGAATGTTTTTTTAGGAATAATGACATGTAGTTGTATATTTGCATAGTTCGATTTTCAGTTAGCCTCCATTTTTCACATTTTACGCTAGGGTCATATATTATAAACCTCTCCATCAAATATTGAAACATTCTCCGTAGTTCATTTTGAGTAGCAACATCAATGAAACGGTTACCAGTGTTAATGATAATTCTTTTTAGAAAAACTTGACTTGATCCCAATCGTTGATCGCTTTGAAGCTGTCTATGAATATGTGACAAATGAAGGTGATTCATTTGTATTTCGCACCAACTTAGATGCTCCGATGTACAAGATAATCAAAATCAGTCTTTCTAATTGTGATCGTGTAAGTTTATCTGTATGTGACTGCGAATATTATCCTCATTTATTGGTCATATTTCATAGCATTTCTAAAGACTGCATCTGTTTCTGAGGGTACCAGAAATATATATATTTATGGACAGATTATATTAATGGTTAAATCCCATTACCATTTTGCGATACTATAGGTACGAAGTCCTACGTTGTTACTGACTGACTGACTGTGATATTATATTCAATTTGTTCAACCCCATTATCAAATAACTACCACGGGATTGAATTCACTTGGTATTTTTTGCTTGAATCTTCCCATTGATATTTAGGATTGCAATCGATCAGTCTCTTATTAGTATATATGCATACTGCGTGTATTGCCTCGATATTGCCTTAAGCCACAAACAGTGGTGGTTAGCAGTGGAATCCAGGACGCGTGTTTCGTCATAAGTGGATAGTGCGATGGCGTTTGAAGCGAACGGTTCTGGGTTCGAGTCCCGAAGCGATCATCAACTCTGGGATTCAGGTACATCCAGCTGACGAGTCCCAAATAAGACAAAACACGCGTCCTAGATTCCACTGCTAGCGACCATCCATCTTTGCTTACAATATAAGATTGGTTTATTGGGAACTGATGGTTTCCACTGAACGACCATATAGTTTACAAAAACTATGTAGTTGATTCTCCTTAGATTTTTCAGCGTTCTATCCTGGCTTTAGGATGTACAACCTAGTATGAAATCTCAGTAAGTAGTTGTGGTGCTAAATAACTTTATTTTTCTACGAATTATTCAATGTATAAAATATATATTATGTTGTGAACAAATGCAAATAAACACTTTCCATGTGCGTGACCATACATGCAATTTCATTTCATTTTCAAGTGAGAATGATAAATACAATTAACCCTATGATCATATTTTAAACTTTATTGTAATTGTTCTGTTTGAGCCACTTGATTTAATTGGGCCTTATACAAAGTGTGCAACGGCATGTTCTAATTCTATTTTCAATATATTCTAGCAACATTGGGAAGATCTTATCCATCACAATGTGGAGTCACTCTTAGAAAGTGCAGTTTGTGTGAACGAGGATAAATTGATCATTTGTCATCTAAAGGATGTTAAGGTCAGTTCTGTATTATTTCCTTAAATATAGTCATTAACCTAAATAGCCTAATAAAAATAATTCTAGAGTTTCTAGATCTGTTAACCAGTTATTCGAAGTCAATAATGCCTCGTGAACAGAAACTTGATAGAATTCACAAGTTAGTAGTACAGTAATTAAAAGAAATCTTCGACATATTAAGGATGGGAATCGACTTTTGCATGGGTTTATCAAGTTCAACTGGCCCAACTAGTGTATTTTCTCCTAATTTACGTTACACAGTTACATAGGCAACTTATCGTCCATTACCTTTTGTTGGATATTCCATGGTTCGTTGATAAGCTTCTGATGACTATTCTGTATCGCTCCGATTATTATTAACCTTCATTATCTCATGCACTAGCATTTACGATATGTTGCCCACGAAAACGGCATTTTGTCACTTTTATCAACTACAGGATTCTGGAAACAAATACAGAAAATATTTTTTACATGTTATGTACATCCAAAAATTTTATTATATTGGGACACGTGACATTTTCTAATTTGTGTCCATTTAGAGCTGCTTATCCGTACACAAACTACTTACTGGGGAGAAGATATCGGATATTGATATTTCACTTGGGTATGTCGCTAATGTAACTGGACGCAAACCTGATGATGAAGTAGGTTCTAATTTATCTTTTATAAAACATTTAATTTTTCTCAATATAGGCCTTCATTCATTTTACATCGTTTCTCACTCCTGGAATAATTTACTCCTACGATTTTTCCCACTCTCATCCGAAGTTGGAGGTAAGTAGTTTGACAGGTGAATTGTTTGTAGCATTAATTGTTTTTGTGTACTAGTATTGAATTCTACAAATCAGAAATGGCATCATGCGTATCCTGCGATTTTCAACACTTGTTGACTGGTGAATTAGTTATTTTGTCTACCACTACCATCGTAAGTAGGAATTAAGCACCTGCTCAAATGTATCATCTTTCAGCTAATCTATGATCGCAGTTTTGTAATCTGGTAGTTACTATAATTAATGCTATCAACCTTTTTCACTGTGGAGTGGGTAGGTTTGTCCACGAAACGTAGATCGCAGGTCATACACACCATCAACCTATTGCTTACATACCATTGCTTTGTTCATTTAGTAGTGAGCTTTTATGGGTATTCTTATAAAAAAATATAGTCAAGTTCTTAGTGTCAGTTCACGTTCGATTGTTCGTATTTCTTGGTCAAGTAACTGGCTCCAAGTTAATTAATGTAGTCACGAACTTTACTTGGTCCATATTCATACATGAAAAGCGTTTTTTTATCTATCTTACATATTATCTGTCTTTCTGTTTTTGTTACTTGTGCAAGTTTATCTGTTATTATCCTTGTTGATGTTACTGTTTGATGACAGGTTATCAGAGAGTCAAAGATTCGGAATGTAGACTTAGATCAATTTGAAGTGAAACAAGTATTCTATGAGAGTAAAGATAAAACTGTAGTTCCTATGTTTCTTGTTCTACCTAAAGTAAGTAAAAATATTTAACGTTTTAGTATATATACATTCACTACCTTTATATAACTTTTGTCCTATCGATATCAACACACAGCCATCTTTCAATACCTTTTAACTAGAATACCAGTCATCTTTGAAAGTCCGTGCTCATTGTTCATATTTGTAGTAATACTGGATTAATATTTGTTTATACCTTCTATTAAACTCGAAACATTTTGTGACAAACCAGACAAGGCAGCTACCATCAACCTAGTAAACTTCACCTAAGTTGTGCTATGTACTACGGACAAGAACAAAACGCTTAGCTGATTTCATGATTACTGTGATCTGAAGTATTTCTATAAAGTACGACTTTTTATCGACTCTGAATCTCTTGCTAATGAAAACTATGGAAGTGAACTGAAAATCACTCCTTACAATTCAAAATGTTACATCTTAAAGTGGAACTTAATTTTTCTACGATATCTTTTCAAACCTCGGTGGTAATAATAATCATATAATTTAGTCCCACGTATCATTGCCATTAAAAAATTCTCAGCACAAAATATACTGTATGGCAACGAATTCCCGCTCAAAATTCACCTGACTTATGAGTATCCAAAAAATATGTATAAAAACGTTTTTAAACACCGATTAGCTTTCATTCACATTAATCCGCAAATGTTTACGACCGGTCTTGGTCCCATGAAACTTCGTTTCATTTCATAATATATCTGATATGTGAATTCTATAATAATAATCTATCTTTTCTTCGAAGAATAGAAAAAAATCCACCATCCACTGTGATTTGTCCTCAGTAATTAGATTCGCAATAGGTCTTAAAGATTTAATAAGAGCATGTGAATATACGGTTATCACACTTAATTAGTTGATCAAAAAATTACAAAACAAGAGTATTTATGTAAACAATTGCACGTTCGAAGGATAAGTGCCCCAAGCGTTTGACTCAATCGCTCAATCAAATGGAAATATTAGCTACCCTGTACAGTGCAAATTTCTAAATTATATTGTCTTCTACACGATCAGATGATGAAAATCAGATTTAGATGTATTAAAATCCACCGAAATCCATTGTAATAGTAATCTAATAACCAAGTTATTATTAATTATTATATTATTTTGACACAGATATTGGTACAAAAAGGCACCAAATACATATGCGCCACACGAATCTCAATTGATTTGTGTGAGGGCTGTGATACTGCCCGGGTGCACAAACCAAAGCAGGTGGTTTTCTTAAGGGGCCACACTCCGAGCCTTCGACCTGAACGTCTGACCCACAAGGCAGTGGAGTATCGTGAGGAGATGCGGTTCCATGGTAGCCGGTGACTAACGATTGGTTCATACGCCATTTGTTCCCGCAGCATACTGGATCCCATGTGCACCATTGGTTTGGGATCTGGTTAAAGCGCCGGACATTCGCTTTTGTCCTCTCATTTTCGTAAACAACAGCCCCACCATGAGAAGACAGTGAGTAGGACTTCCCTGGCAGAGGCTATATACGCATAGCCATGTGAGAGCATTTCGAGAGGAAGAACGGACTCTCCCCACTCTCGTTGGTACCAGGGCATTTTGGAGCCTAATTACCAAGACCACTTCCTAATTATTACTCTCACAAAACCAGGTGTGCCCTGGCACGGCGAAGGGTGAGGAAAGTCCGCACCCCTCGGAATGCTCTCATATTGCCCCACATATACAGCCTCTGCTAGGGAAGTCCTACTCACTGCCTTCTCGTTGAGGAGTGTTGTTTACGAAATTGTTCGGCGCTTTAACCGGTTTGGTGGATATGGAGGATCCACCTAGGGGAGTTGCAAAATCATGATTCCAAACGAATGGTGCTCATGGACTCCAGGATCTAGAAGTGACAAATGGCTTATGAACCAATCGTTGGTCACCGATGTTATAATTCTCTCTTAGGGTTATAACCCAGCTATTCTTATTGCTTAGTATTCACGGACACCAATTCACTCGACAAGGCCCCAAATCAGAACACGGTTGAACAGGAAAGAGATAATATTCTATATAACAAGGTTAGATGGAATTAAGAAGCGCAATAGGAAAAACGTTAGTATATTTATGGTTTTTATATGAGAATATTTCTAGAGTATTCTCCAAGTATCGACTAGTGCTGATTGGGCAAAAATTTGCCAATCAGCGTGCGCCAAAGCAATCGTGCATTGAGCATGCTTTAATCCAATCTATGTCTCGCTAACAACCGAATACCATGAAACTACATCTGACGTTCCTCCACTGCCTTGCGGATCAAACCTTTGGGTCGAAGGCACCGGGTGTGGCCCCCTAAGAGAACCACCTACTTCGGTTTGGGCACCCGGGCAGTATTCCAGCCCTCACACAAATCGAGTGACGAAGTGTGGAGCATATATATTTGGTACCTTCTTGTGCGAATGTTTATATGTTTAAATAAATAAATAAAGATATGAAAACCCTCGACCTTGTGTTCTAGTCACTGTCTATATTTATATCTACACTAGTGTCTCGCATCACATTTCACCTTGCCAAATTATCTACTTCTGAGAAGGCTAATGAAATTATAGTAAATTTAAGCTTAATCAATTTGAGTAATAATCATTTCGTTGTCAAAAGTCGTCACTGTTCCGATTCACTCTATTTCCCCCTATTTTTTACGTTTTAGAATTTCCAACAAAACAACTCGGCGCCGTGTCAACTTTACGGTTATGGTGGATTCAACATATCTGTGACTCCATCGTTTTCGGTTGGACGATTGTTTTTCCTGATGCATTTTGGTGGTGTAATCGCAGTAGCCAACATTCGTGGTGGAGGGTTAGTTGAACTTGTACAATTTTTTCCCATTATATTCGTATTTGTTGTGACGCACGGTGTCCAATAATTGAAGCTGATGCCCACCCTTATACACAAGACCGACTACCTTGGTGAAAAGATGAAGAGTGAAAAAGTTTATTTGGACTAAGTCGAATCACATGTAGTTAATGTCTCGTCCTTTGCAAAATTAAGCGATTGTTTGGCTATTCGATTATAATGATCACTCGACGATTCCTGACTAGTCTGCTCTATCAGTTTTGCATAAAGCTCACAGTGTTAGGTGGTCGACGTCATTAGTCTCAATTGTATCCATCTAGGCATGGAGTTTATGATCAATAAAACTGATTAAGATACACCAAGATCGTTTGTTTTTAATCAGTTTATAGCTTATGTAAGATATCTAAATATTTCGTTTAAAATATTTAACACATATCAATCCTCTCCATTCTAAAGATTTGAAGCGTATCTGATGAAAATGGATGGCTTGCGAACATTGTAGGTATTTAATTACAAGTGTCTTTTATTAAATCACTGGGTGATCGATGTAGTTATGATTCTGAATCGATTAATCTGTTTTGGGCCATGTGGATTAACTCTCATTGGTTCACGCGGTTGTGTTGTGGCTAAGTTAACTAGAGAGTCAACTTTTTTGTACTCTTGTTTCTCATACGCATATAATTTTCTTTGATAATTGATAGAGAATATGGAAAATCTTGGCACGACGCTGGTCGACTGCAAAACAAACAAAACTCTTTCGATGATTTCCAAGCAGCAGCCGAATACCTTCTTAATCATGGATATACTAACAACCAAAAGCGAGTTTCATTTTTCTTCACTGTTTTTTTGTTTGTTTTTTTCACTTTCGCTTATTAATCATAACGAATTAAACATAAACGTTATATTAGGTGTTTTAATAATAGGTCGGTGGTTGTTCATAAACGCAAATTTGCATTTGGGTACATCAAGTTCTTGTAAGGAAGTCAGATGCGACATCTGTTCTTAGACTTACGAGAAATCAAGTCACTGACTGTTATATAAAATGATTCACAGGTTTTATTCCAGAGACCAGTGAACGCATCAAAGGACAGAGTTCGACTTTTATGATCATATTGTTTCCGCACTCATCAGTCGCTTCTTATAATCAGCTTTAAACCTTGCTTTTTGTTCCTTAGTAATTTGGATAAATAACACGTGATTATAGATCTTTGCGGATACAATAAAGTTAGAAGTTGAGTTCGCTTTTATCTGTTTTCTCGTGGAAATTCTTTACGAGTATTGAGTACGCTACAAATAAATATTAACAGTATGCAAATATTCGCCAGTGAACTTTTGAAAAACTTCCCGTTTGTTTGATAACTTAGTTAAAGTCGTAGCTGTAATTTCTTTTAAAAGGAATGTGTTTCCCATATTCTGTACACAATATCGATTTATTTTGGTTTTATGAAGTCCATGTTTTGGTACTTACAATACCGTCCAAATCACAGTTTTAGTTGTTTAGTTTGTTTTTATAGTCACCAATTTTTTTTTCAAAAAACGACCAACTAATCTTCAAACTTTTAGACTGTACATTCAAGGAGGTAGTAATGGTGGACTTCTAGTTTGTGCCTGTTGCAATCAACGACCTGATTTATTTAAAGCTGCTATTGCTCAAGTTCCAGTATGCGACCTTATTAGATTCCACAAATTTACCATTGGACACGCGTGGAAAAGTGACTATGGAGATCCTGATAATAAAAAGGATTTCTCAAACTTGATGCGGTAATCCATTTCTAAATCATTTATTTATTTTCTATTTTTAGGACATTTTTATGTTTATCATTTAACTTTTACTTAACCGTAACTCCTGTGATCAACTCAAACATTTCTATTTCATGTGCATCAATTAGTTGATAACTTTTTGTGATTACCCTTTTATAAACCTCGTACAACCAAATCGGTCGACACGGAAATGTATTGGCTCAGATCGCTCACTATTTTAGCGGTAAATTAATTATAAAATAACCCATGGCTCTTTGATAAAATTCGAGAGTATATGAAAACGCCAAATCGTCCAAACGAATAGAATGTATAGCTTATTATTCCTCCTAGTTTATTTTTTTCAAATACTTTGAACATTATGATGAATATACACCCCAGTATTATAAAGGAGTGCGTATAAGCCTGATTCGATATTGCTTACCAAATTTACTAGTTCCTTTTCCGTACACTCTTTCGAAATTCCTCACAGAAACTAAAAACTGATCCAATCTACGGATAAACCAATCATATTGTTCAGTTGATATTAATAGGTTTTGCAGTCCCATATAAGTATGACTAACTTCAAAATTAGAGCCGTTGTTTAAGGTGTTGTAGAAATAATTTAAATCTAGATTATTCTTTGATTTCACGGTAGGTTCTTGTGTAAAAGGATAGTAATCAGTTTTAATATCTAGCTGATGAAAACGAATTATAGGTCAAGAAAATTCTAGCATCTTATAGCCCCCAAATACCCTGGTACCAACGAGAGTGGGGAGAGTTCGCTCTACCTCTCGAAATACTCTCACATGGCCACGCGTATATAGCCTCTGCCAGGGAAGTCCTACTCACTGCCTTCTCGTGGTGGGGCTGTTGTTTACGAAAATGAGAGGACGAAAAGCGAATGTCCGGCGCTTTAACCAGATCCCAAACCAATGGTGCACATGGGCTCCAGTATCCTGCGGGAACAAATGGCGTATGAACCAATCGTTAGTCACCGGCTACCATGGGACTGCATCTCCTTATGATGCTCCACTGCCTTGTGGGTCAGACGTTCAGGTCGAAGGCTCGGAGTGTGGCCCCTTAAGAAAACCACCTGCTTTGGTTTGTGCACCCGGGCAGTATCACAGCCCTCACACAAATCAATTGAGATTCGTGTGGCGCATATGTATTTGGTGCCTTTTTGTACCAATATCTATGTGTTAAAATAAGTAAATAAATAGCACCTTATATGATTCTAAGTGGTACTTATCTACACACTCTTATTAATATCAATAATATTATGGTTGGAAAATCCGAATAATCTGTAACATCATAATACCATCAACGTTTTTTAATCGCTAACATACTTGTACTTTTATTCACTGAGTATACTGTTGCAATAATTTGTAACAGAAATCATGTGTAAATATGTTTTGCTTCTTACAGCATTTCTCCACTCCATAATGTCAATATTCCATCTAATCCAGATGTTCAATATCCAGCATTATTGATTTTAACTGCAGATCATGATGATCGTGTTGTTCCGTTACACTCATTTAAGTTTATTGCTACTTTACAAGAAAAACTATGCCACAACTGTCGCCAAACAAACCCTATTCTGATTCGAATTGAGCAAAAGGCTGGACATGGACAAGGCAAACCAACATCAAAATCAGTAAGTTTACAAGCAAATAAATAACTCAATCAAGAATCATTGGAATAACAAAAATCTAGAATCTGGTTGCTAAGTCATACTGCAAACCTCATTGGGATAAGATGGTAGTAACGGATAACGAGTGTCTTCAGTGATCATGGCTCCTCACAACAGAAGAGGGGAGCGTGTAAATCTTGACCATGTGGAGAATTAGAAGCTTGTCGCTAGCACATCGTAAACTGCTCACAAAGGGCTTTGACCGACTTGTAGTAGTTCTGTCTTAGACGTTTAGATTAGGCTCTCAAGTCGTCAAAACCATTACTAACCCAGCTTTTTCTATTATCCATTGAATTTCGCGTAATGTTATTCCTGGTATCTCGAAATGTCTCTCCAAACTACATAAGTGAGTTTTCAATGTCTAGACCCTGTGTCAAATCAGACAGCAAGTTTGTTGAGCTAAGACTCTAGAATCTCGAGCGATCGACACACGTTTTTTCTCCTGAGATCGCATACAGAGTTGAAGTGTGGTCATTCACTTGATCTCATCTGACAAATAAAAAAATCTAATACGACCCACCCTTCGTATATCTGGAGACTTAACAGCAACCACTTGTGATCTTGTAATAGACACTTTGAATAAGAGCTTGTCATAAAGATTACCGGCGACAGTGCCTTTCTCTTCCCGATTAATAGTGTATTAACAAATCAGAAAGACAGGTTAAACCCGTTGGCTCTTCGTCGTTTTATACCTACTCCGTCACGACGCTGAAAAATAGTTCGTTATGTTAGCGTCTCAACTCACCAAACCGACAACTAATCGTTTGTTGCATACTTGATCAACCGTTTGTTCTTGCCAAATACTAAAGTATGAAGCAGGCAGCAAATGTTCGGTTAAAAGTGCCTTAATACCATTCCCCGCGTGTTATACAACAACCGAGTGAGCAATGCTGAGGTTAGTTGTAGGATACTAGGCAAAAATGCCAAATCAATTGATGAAGTTGTCAATCTTCAGCAACTAAGATGCCTGGGATATGTGTTAAGTATGACCAACTACCGGCAACCATAACGTAGAATAATGGCTGGACTAGTAGTAGGTTAAAAGTGAGGTAGAGGCAACCTTTGCCCCCAAATGCCCTGGTATGAACGAGAGTGGGGAGAGTCCGCTCTTCCTCTCGAAATACTCTCACACGGCCAGGCGTATATAGCCTCTGCCAGGGAAGTCCTACTCACTGTCTTCTCATGGTGGGGCTGTTGTTTACGAAAATGAGAGGACGAAAAGCGAATGTCCGGCGCTTTAACCGGATCCCAAACCAATGGTGCACATGGGCTCCAGTATACTGCGGGAACAAATGGCGTATGAACCAATCGTTAGTCACCGGCTACCATGGGACTGCATCTCCTTATGATGCTCCACTGCCTTGTGGGTCAGACGTTCAGGTCGAAGGCTCGGAGTGTGGCCCCTAGGAAAACCACCAGCTAACTGTTCTTCAGAAAGTGCGTTCGACAGATATTGTAGTACTAGCTGGAGACTTGAATGCTCAGGTCGGGCGTCTAGGCACAGAAGAGAGTCGCTTAGGTGGCCGATGGGGACTTGTTGGTCGCAGGACAGATAACGGGGAACGTCTACTGCAACTGTGCACAGAGCACAACCTGTTTCTGGCTAGCACTCACTTTCGGCACAGTCATCGCCGATGTGCCACCTGGAGTCCTCCCTCTGCATCTCAAGCCTGGACTCAGATTGATCACATCGCGATCAGCTACCGCTGGCGTGGTTGTATACAAGACTGCCGCTCCTTTTGGAGTACCTATCTGGAATCTGATCATGCTCTGGTCTGCGCCAATCTTACCTTACTTTTCAGTGGACAACGGAGTGACCGCCACCACAGGATTGATGTTAGCAAGCTGGTTGCAACTTCTGTTGCTAGTATGTACCGAACCGAGCTAGCTTCTAGGCTAGCTACCATTCCACCGAAAAGTATAGATGAGCATTGGTTGCAATTGCATGACGCCATGAAAATGGCGGGTCAAGTCAGTTGTGGGTTTGCGAAACGTCCCGCTTACAAGCACTGGGTTTCTTCTGGTTCCTTACAACTGATTGAAGCCCATCGGTCTACTCCGGGTGACCGTGAGTTTGACCACAGACGAAGGATGTTACGTAATGAAAACGGGCAAAGCTTGCGTAAGGACCGTGAAGTCTGGTGGTCGGAGCGTGCCAGTGAGTTGGAAGCAGCAGCTGCATCTGGTAGTTACCGGAAGCTCTTCCAACTCCTCCGAGCCACTGGCAGCAAGAAGTCTGGTGTGAGCGAAACGATCTGCGAGGATGACGGAACGCCAATCACTAACATTCATTGACGTCTTGGACGATGGTCAAAATTTTTCAAAGGGCAGATCAACTGGCCTGTTGCTCCGGCAGTATCAGTCGGACTGTCCTACCCTCCATGGCCGATGACGACTGATCCACCAAATGGAGCGGATGTCCGCAAGGAACTCCAACTCTTGAAACGTTACAAATCACCGGGCCCAGACGACTTACCTCCGGCTCTTTTTAAAGATGGTGGTGACTTTCTGACTAAGGGACTGACGACGTTGTTTACAAAGATCTGGGAACTAGAGTGTGTACCGACGTCATGGAATGAGTCGATAGTTGTCCCCATCTTTAAAAAGGGTTCACGTTGTTCTTGTAACAACTATCGGGGGATAAGTCTACTTGATCCTCACCGTCCGCCAAATGTTAGAACACCGCCATACTTATCAAAGGCCAACAATCGTAGTGTTTCTTGACATCAGGACTGCCTTCAATTCGTTGAGCAGGACTGTTCTCTGGGATTGTCTATTGAAGAAGGGTGTGCCTGAGAAGTTTATTAACATCCTAAAAGCCCTATACACAATTACCTCAGGCAGAGTGAGGGCATACAACCACCTTTCTCTACTATTCCATTCGAGCAGTGGGGTTAGGCATGGTTACCCAATCTCACCATTCCTCTTCAACTTTGCCATCGATGACATTCTGGAAACAGCTCTGACGGATGTAAGTAATGGTGGTGTGGATCTGTTGCCTGGAGAAAGACTTCTCGACCTTGAATATGCGGATGTTATTGTCTTACTGTGCGAGAATGCCGAAGCCATGCAATCCGCACTTGCTATCTGTTTTGTTAATATTTTTTTCATCGTGCTGATGTGGTATGACTACTAGGTTTGACGCACATCTATGCTAGGCTTTACGTAGATTTTAATCGACTGGATTATAATCTGAAATATAGGTGTCGAAAGACCACAGTGTTTTTAGTTAGCTGTTCGTTCATCTACTTGAGGACACTAGTTAAAGGCTAGACTTAATACTCCTTTGCGCTTCCAGTTTTTTTAAAACTCCAAATCTTAAGCAATATCTCGGTACCCCTTACCTATGTAAAATACAAACAGGACTCGAATGGTAGGTGTTCTGATCAGTTTCGTGTGATAAAAAGCTGAATATCGAAATTTCACTGGGATAAATGCAACCAACATTTATCCAACTCGATGAAAACTCATGTTCATGTCCTAGTTTGTATTAAAAAGTTTGCTTGTTTGTCACCTTCACTGTTGTAATAATAGGTATTATCAGTCACATTTTATTCTTCTTGTGCATATATTCTGTGTCAATGTTACTGAAAAATTTATAAATATGTATAGTAAACCATTTTTTGTACTCATTTATTGTACCTTGCAAATCTATACATACCTTATCACCGTGATGATATGCATTTCAGATCAACGAGGTAGTAGATATATACTCCTTCTTACAAACTGCAATGTCACTCACATGGAAGGAATAATATGGATTGTTATTGCAATTACTGATCTTTGAATTTTTGGCATCTAATAATCTCGTTGCTGTTGTCAATATCTCTAGGTTAATTTTACTAACTGCCCCCGATTTGATTTGTGTTAAGATCGTCTGTGGTGCTTTGTTTATTTATTAACATTTTTGGCTTTCATATCTAGTTCGTTTAACTAAACCGAACTTATACATTTGTTATGACGTAATAAAAAATATTTAATGATATTACCAATCGGTTGATTTACTGTTCATCTTTAAGGTTTGATAGTTTGGTAAATTTCAACGACGGCTTATGGTTTCTTCCTTGCAAAACGACGTGTAATAATAAATAATACGAAACGTAAACGAAGGTAAATAACAAACGGACATTATTTACCCCATCACTGAAGCAGACACTTCTCAAGTTAGGGTTGAAAGATTTTATAGCAAATGCTACACTATTTGCTATATACCTATATGTGTTTTGTTAGTCTTCATGCTCACGTATCATCTAAAGGTAACTTATAATAAACCGAATGCCAAATTTATTTTTAAAAATACTGAGCTCAGTAAAATCCAGGTATGTTGTGCATGCAATTCTTAGCCAAACAGCACATAGACAACTGTTAACAGGGATCCACTCTAATATGTGATTGCTCCGCTCTCACAGTTAGTGCTATGCATAAACCTGCCAATCCACGAGAATTAACCATCGGGTCGCCAGATATATGGAGAGTGTATCTCGTCGTCTCCGTTTTGGCGAGGTAAGGTCAAGTGAATAACCACAGTAAGATCCTGTATGCGTGTTTCGTGCGAAGTCTTGATTTTCCGTCAAGGAGGCTTGCTTGCCGGTTTGACATAGTGTGCGTACGTTGAAGGCTCCAATGTTTGAAGCGAGATTTCAGTAGACCTGGGACAATGTTTTGCGCATTAGAATCGTTGGCAATGGTTACACTTGAGGAGGAAGCCAGAAGAAGAAGTTTAGTGTTGAAGGTCGATGTAGGAGGAATAATAGGAACTGAAGAGGGAAGTTGATTATGAATACAGTGGTCATGAGTGCCGTTATTACTTCTCGGTCGCCCGCATCGTGGAAGGGTTCTTCTTGAGGTACCTGAAAAGCAAACTAGGTTAGGGGCAGTCTTAGTGACCTGAGAGCGGGACCATGGTGCCTAAAGGACAACTGCTTGAGGTTGGTCACACACGACCTTTGTATTAGCTCCGCACTTGTTGAGACTTTACTGCTGGAGATGGATATCCGTGGGATAAGGCGAGGTGTGCATTTTAGGGTCGGCCTTTTCTAACCCGACCCTTCCTTCGTGGGAAGGCATAATCGCTGTCCAGCTGGTTGTCTGAGGGAAACACCTTACTGCCGTTACACCTCCGTACAGTCAGCAGTAAGACTTCGTCCTCGGACCTTGGGTTTGTCGCTTTTATCCTTACCGTTCTTCAATCGACCTGTTTGGCATGATAGAACCTTGAGGAACGGTTGTTCTAGTCAGTATAGCTCTATTCATTCATCATGGTACGCAAGCCCGACCACCATGTCAAGGTGGGAACGACTGTGAAACGTGGTCGTTAAGAGTAGGAGATACTCGTAAGCTACTAGTATTTGACCACATATGCTTTAGAAATATTGCTCGCATCTGCTGGTATTATCGGGTAAGTAATAGTGAGGTTAAACAACAGGGTATTAGGGAATTGTGTTAAATCGATTGAAGTTGTGAATCTTCGACGACTGAAATGGATGAACCAAATGTTAAGTATACCTGAACACCGATTACTTGGACGCGCAATGCTGATTACCGTTGGAGATGGTTGGAAGAAATTCAGCGGTGGCCAAGCCAAAACGTGGCATCAGTCTTTGAAGTCACCAACTTCTAGTCTTAGTCATGTTGCTAGATGCAGACTACTTGGTTGGGGTCCGCGCGACTATCGTAACCAATGGTTGGAGACTGAGTGATATGGTTCAGAATCGATCACAATAGTTTAGGTGTATGCACTTTTTGTCTTCCCTTAAACTATGAGATTAAAATTATTTCATATCTTTCTTTCTGTACTATATGTTTACATAAAATCTTTCTTTTAAATATTACACCATTGAGTTAACTGCTTCGATGAATCCAGTGTTCGTCTTGCTGTGCTAATGAGGTTTGGCAACTTGGGCTGATGCATGTATGTGCCTGGTCCTACGTTGTAATTGACTGACTACATCCAATTCTATTAAAAGGACTTTCTCGGACTAAAAACACTGAGGATAACTACATAGCATGAGATATTTCACAAAAGATAAAGTCTGAATTAAAATAAAGTAAAATTCAAAAAGTGACAAAATTAAATTCAACAGCGAATGATCAAGGATGATTATGGTGACTTAAAAATAAACCTTTCAGCGTCAGTTATTGAAACACTTATTACTGCATTCGGGGACTGATTCGTTGTTTCTTACGTTAACAATCTTTTCGATACCTAAAAGCTTATCAGGACAATGGGGGTTTTTCGTAATGATATGTGCAGCTCTCAGTGGATGTGATAAAGGTATTGAAGCATGTACATCGGACGCATGTAGTTCACTTTCACATGAAATCAACTTTTTATATTCTTGTAAACATTCATTTTCTTCTGTACTGTTTAAAATAACATATCTTCGTTCATGTGATGGGGATGCAGATCCTGGTCGATTTCGAAGATTAAGTTGTGTACCTCCCTCAGAGATACAGTTGTCATCAATGTTGTCATCCACATCACATTCGGCTTCAACATCCTCGTCTATTTCATCTTCACTCTCACTATAGCATCCGAATGCTACTGAAGGGATTTCAAGTGGTTGACGAAGCCTAATTCTAGCGTGAGCAGGAGATGATGAATGTCCAACTGAGGGTGGTAGAGCATTATTACGAGGAAAAATTATAGAGCGGACAGCACGGGGTTCAGATGGCAAAGAATTCGAACGCAAATCAAACGTAGAAAATGATGGTGACGAAACTAAATGTAGTTCTGCATGCTTTGTAGGGGTTGACACAGGCTGAAAAATAGAAAAATCATGCTACTAAACTGGACACTAAACAACAAAAGATGAATTGGTTCAGGATGAATGAAAATTTCGGCACTGTTAAAGACATAGAACTTATAAACAACTGTGTGGTTAAAGGGATATGACTGACCTGGGAAGTCACCACTGTTATGGAGTTTTCTGCGAAATCTGTAGTTCTGGAAGTTGATAATGTCTGAGATCGAAGTCCAGATGTGTTGTCGCCTTGGAAATTTTTAGTGGGTGAATCTGATAAGACGGTGCATGAATGTGGATGCGAAATTTCAGCTTTTACTTCGTTATTTTTCGAGTCACATAAAACCACATAACCAGGATTGAAACCTCCAATACGAGAATTTGGTATGGTAGAAGACAAACCGATTGAAGCTAGACCTAACTTATTCATCCATTTTGATCGGTCGATTTCAGAATCAGAAGCGAACACAAAGCGAACCCAATCATTGAAAATTGAGAATGCACTATCATAAATGAAATATGAAAAACCCCATGACATTACTGAGAGCTGTTCAAATGAACTAACCCAAGTTATTCGTTTAAAAATGTTGTTATTTCCGCAAACCTAGGATAAAAGCTATGAAATTGGGACACCAGTGATCTTGAGTGCTGTTAAATGTATGAGGGCAGTTATCACTTCTCGGTCGCCCGCATCGTGGAAGGGTTCTTCTTGAGGTACCTGAAAAGCAAACTAGGTTAGGGGCAGTCTTAGTGACCTGAGAGCGGGACCATGGTGCCTAAAGGACAACTGCTTGAGGTTGGTCACACACGACCTTTGTATTAGCTCCGCACTTGTTGAGACTTTACTGCTGGAGATGGATATCCGTGGGATAAGGCGAGGTGTGCATTTTAGGGTCGGCCTTTTCTAACCCGACCCTTCCTTCGTGGGAAGGCATAATCGCTGTCCAGCTGGTTGTCTGAGGGAAACACCTTACTGCCGTTACACCTCCGTACAGTCAGCAGTAAGACTTCGTCCTCGGACCTTGGGTTTGTCGCTTTTATCCTTACCGTTCTTCAATCGACCTGTTTGGCATGATAGAACCTTGAGGAACGGTTGTTCTAGTCAGTATAGCTTTATTCGTTCATCACGGTAGGTAAAAGCAATGGTCGGGATCGGAACACATAAAACTACGGTTTGTGTGTTAATAATAAGGGCAATAGGTAATTAGATAGTTATGGTGAAATCAAAGTGTTTAAATAAAAAGAAATTTCCAAGACATGTAAATAAATTTTTAACCCTCAAACGATTACGTAGTATTGTCGTGTGCACTACTTATTTAGACAGATATAAGCATTATGTAGTAGGAGTTGGACGTAGAATGTTACTAGCAGGAGTGAAATAAAAAGACTAGAAGAGAAAACGATAGCAATACGATAATAACTCAGAAGATGTAAGGGACAACTGAAAAAAAAGGTGTGCAAGAGATGTATTCAACGTATGATTTCAGTACTTTACAAAGCTACTGTCCGATTTCGCATAAAAAAAGAAATCAGTTTGCCGCACCTGAGTTTTCGTTTACTAAACTATATCTGGAATGCATAATGCTTTGATCATACATACAAGCCAACCAACATATAGAGAAATATCTCGACTACACACCCTGACTGAAATGAACGTTGCACTGATGATTTTGAATCATCAATCTACATCTTCGAAAAAGTGGAACGGGGATTTTCAAGGGTTGTTGCATCGTGTAAAAAATGTTTTACTTAAATGTCTCTTCAACTTATAATTACTATACTAAACCATTATATTCTTCGTACGTTAATTAACTATGAACGGCTTTTTAAGCTGAGAGCTCAGTAGGCCTATGGATTTGTGTTAAAACCTAGCAGGGACGATATACTGTAGCAATCGACTAGCGAATCTTAAGGCGAAAATACCGTGTAGTAGTCTCCCACAATTTTTGTAGTCGATGGAGTCTATATTGAGCACATCCTACAATTTTAACAGGTGCAATTGAAACGACTTACAATTTTCCCGATTTTGCTGAGACTGCAGGAGTGATTGTGAAACCATGCAACAGAATTAAACCTTCAGCTGAATCATCCTAAAATAAGCGAAATAAATATTTTCCTATTTTTAACAAAAAAGTTAGAACATTACTTCCGGATTTCTGTAATAATAGAACGTTGAGTTTTTGTAAACACACCATCGCTTCACATATTTACTGGTAAGCGGGTTGGTTTTCTTCAACCAAAGCCAACCTTGGCAATCTCCTTGTCCAAGATCTTTGCAGGATATACGACGAGCTATATGTAATACATGAAATTAAAAATTCACAGAAAGCAGTGGAAACAGTGGACATAAAAAATGCCATCAATGTACTGCTTTTCTTGGTCTTCTCATTATATTGAAAGACCCAAATGCGTTATGCATGTTTAACATGCAGTTGAATTACCTTGTCACTTAAAATTTATCAAAAATGATTTATGCACCAACGGCTTCAGTTAAGCGTAGGACAAATATTACCTTAAATGGGCCACAGAACAATTTGTCAATAAATGACATAAGTTCAATTAAATTAGTGGAGTTTTATCGAAATCATGAACCGACCAATGATGGTTAAACGTCGATCCGTCCATGATTTCAATGAAACTCAACTATCTCTACAACACCATACTGTAAATTAGAAGAATTCCAAAATTTTCGGTCTCCTCGGTATTGGTACAAGGTAATGAGTTTGTAGTTGAATAACACAAGCCTCTTTTCAATCTACGACCAGTTCCAATAGAGTAAAAAATCCGATCAATCCATATAAAATTTTTAAGGGATAGCACGGTACTTCTGATATTAGAAAAGACAGAACATATTTGTCTTGAATAATTTGCTTGAATCAAAGTGAGTGGCTCGCATTCATCCTTTTTCAAGTAACAATAGTTGATAACTGGGTATTTTAATTAGTAAGGCACCCGTTGAAAAACGATTATAACTTTGAACAGAAATAATATTAAACTGTCCGTGTAAGCAGTTTACGTATTGGTTTATTACATATGCTGGGATTTATTAATTTCGAAGCAGAACAGGATTGAGAAATTAGCAAAAGAATGATAAGTAGAACTCACTTGGTTTTCTTGATCCCAATCCATGTTTTAAAAAAAGCATGAAATCATCAAGACTAGAACGATGGAGCTATAAAAATAAGACACGCACAATATGATATTGAGTGGGATACTTAGGGGTATATAATGATATACTAATGTTATGATTGTATCTTGAAACGCTGACCAATATCACATACTAAAGTCACTAAACAGAATTTTGTGCGTCTGCCACATCTATAGCCCCAAACGCCCTGGTATGACCGAGAGTGGGGAGAGTCCGCTCTCCCTCTCGAAATACTCTCACACGGCCACGCGTATATAGCCTCTGCCAGGGAAGTCCTACTCACCGCCTTCTCGTGGTGGGGCTGTTGTTTACGAAAATGAGAGGACGAAAAGCGAATGTCCGGCGCTTTAACCGGATCCCAAATCAATGGTGCACATGGGCTCCAGTATCCTGCGGGAACAAATGGCGTATGAACCAATCGTTAGTCACCGGCTACCATGGGACTGCATCTCCTTATGGTGCTCCACTGCCTTGTGGGTCAGACGTTCAGGTCGAAGTGTGGCCCCTTAAGAAAACCACCTGCTTTGGTTTGTGCACCCGGGCAGTATCACAGCCCTCACACAAATCAATTGAGATTTGTGTGGCGCATATGTATTTGGTGCCTCATAGTACCAATATCTGTGTTAAAATAAAACATAAATAAATACTACATTTATAACTTAGCTTCTCTTACGTGACCAATTACATGCCCTACCATCACCTCACTTTGACCTGAAACAACTGAGTTCTTATTGGCCCGCTGTTCGCAGACTTCTCTTGACACCTGACCTTGAGCCCGAAGAATTCAGCAATCAGCTTCTACTGTATTAATATTTCAAACAAATGTAGCCTATATGCAGCCCTACCATTTCGCAATCACATCACAAAATAAAAATAACTATACAGGAACGAGCCATGAATGGCAATGAAAAAGCAAGTTGTAATTAACAGACTGGCGGGAAATTAGAGATAGTAGGTCGTATAACAATAATTAATGAGTTAACTGAAAGCTCATGATGAATGGAACATTCCCTTATTGCTTTTAGTCTAATATCTTAATATCTCTAAGCTATTTTTGTAGAGTACGTATAGTGAGTCTTGTCAAGGAAGTCACTTGTAAAACTTACGTTTCTATAACGTTTATCAAGAGCATGAAACTTAGGAGATGAACTGCTACCATGGCGAAGCGAAGAAGAGGGACTCGGTTTTTTCTGAAATAACGTATCTGGGAAAATTTTAAAAATATGTATAAAGAAACATTATCAGTATTTATTTGAGTTTGAATTTTAGAAAATTATGGACGAAAAGTTTTTCTGAATTAACAGTATAGAGGCGACTATCAAGCTCCCAGTTGAAGAGCAATTTATTATTTTTGAGGATTACACTGTAGAAGCCTACAAACTTATTATTAGACTAACATAAAATATGTTCCGCTTTTCGAAGTACACACAGAGCAGAACTTTTCCCGCTGACATGTTACAAACCTGACCTTGTACAACTATACTAACATTAAGATGGCCGAGATTGGCATAAGCTACATTGGTCCTCGCTTTACGTAAATTGATTCCATCACTCACCCCACCGACAATCACCTAAATACCCAGATAAACGAACTTTTAACAGCTCACTCTAGTCAGTCTTGCAAAAGTACTTCCCATTTAGAAGGTGCAAAGTGTATCCCATACTTAGCGACCCTAACAACTGATTATGTTAGTTTTGCATAGTTTGAATATCATTGTATAGTGAAACAATATAATCCACATACTCAATACCAAAATGCTTTTCACTAGGTAACATCCACACTACCACTCACTTTCATCAGGGCTGTTTCCAGAGCATGGGAAAAGTGGGGAAGAATGGCGAGATTGGGCAACCCTGTCTGGAACGGAACAATCGAGTGTTGGTTTTATATGTCCTCACTCTGTCTGAAGGTACTTATGTACAGAGCCTTCAAAATGTTAATGAACGTCTCAGATACATGCTTCTTTAACAGATAATTCCAGAGTATAGTCCTTTTCAACGAATCGAAGGTTGTCCTGATATCAAGCAACACAACGATTGATGGCCAGTGATGAGTATGGCAGTACTCTAACATTTGGATTAGGGTAAAGATGTGATCAATACATCCACAATCTGACCAAAAAGCGTCCCGCTCTTGAAAAGTCAGTCGATCGAATGTTTCAAACAATCTGATGGAAGTCAATCGCTTGGACGCAAACGACAGTAAATGTATTCCCTGATAGTTGTTGCATAGATAACATAGGACATTCCTAAAGATGGAGGCGATGGTCACTTCATTTTAGCATGTTAGAACAATTTCTAGTTGTCAGACCTTTCAAAACAACCCAATGAATTTTCCTACCAGTGGTTCGCTCCGTAATCTGAAGAGCTAATCAAAAGCAGTCAAATGAGGCCACTTGTTGACAATTAGACAAGTCACGACGGACAAATGCACGCCGTTGGCTAAAAGATGGATTGATTTGTTAAGCGGTAGAGATATAATATATACGAATGAGTATTTATACGTGTCATTCGGTAGCCCGATACTTTTTTTCCCACTTTTGTTTTCTCGCTCAAGTGGTCAGTTGAGGGTTTAGCGCGTAGCACGTTCCTTATCAACATCAGATCTCGGACCACCTACATCATGAAAGTTAGTCGTCTGGGATTAGTAACTTGTGGTCTATGGTGCTTCAGGAGTCGGAGTTTCTTGAACATTTTCTTCTAGTTGTATCGCCATGGAGGACAAGATAGCGGGATTGACGATGATGGGGCAACAGACTAGCTGGACTATTTTCCGGAAAACTGCCTACAGTGCAAGAAGTCGTCGGATGTTGTTAACTGACATTTCAATAACTCACACTAGACTTCTTGCTGCCAGTGGCTCGGATGAGTTGAAATAGCTCTCTATATTTGCTAGAAGAAGCTGCTGTTTTCAAATCTGGCACATTTTGATCACCAAGTTACTGCGTCTTCATGAAAACCTTTTAAAAAATTCCTTAAACAGATCAATGTCAGCAAATTGGTTGCAGCTTCTGTTGCAACTACATATCGCGCCGAGCTACGTTCAAGGCTACCTACCAGCCCATCAACAAGTAAAAAAGAGCACTGGCATACAACCACCTCTCTCCATTGTTCCATTCAAGCAGTGGAGTTAGGCAGGGTTGCTCAATTTCACCATTCCTCTTCAACTTTTCCATCGATGACATTCTGGAAACAGCTCCGATGGATGTAAGTAATGGCGGTGTAGATTTGTTGGTTGGAGAAAAACTTCTCGACCTTCAGTGTGCGGATGATATTGTTTTTTTTTTCATTTTTATTTGAACACATAAATATTGGTACAAGGGTCACTAAATATATATGCACCACACAAAAAAATGGGGAATTTGAAGGGAAGGAAAAAAAACGATAACGACCAGATTACTGTAAGGTAGTGTAATAATAATAATAATAATAATAATAATAATAATAATAATAATAATAATAATAATAATGCGGGAAACGGAAAGGTACAATCAGAAGAAATCCGACGGATACTGCCGGAGCAGCAGGCCAGTTGAACTGCCAGTGGTAGCTGATCGCGATGTGATCAATCTGAGTCCAGGCTTGAGATGCAGAGGGAGGACTCCAGGTGGCACATCGGCGATGACTGTGCCGAAAGTGAGTGCTAGCCAGAAACAGGTTGTGCTCTGTGCACAGTTGCAGTAGACGTTCCCCGTTATCTGTCCTGCGACCAACAAGTCCCCATCGGCCACCTAAGCGACTCTCTTCTGTGCCTAGACGCCCGACCTGAGCATTCAAGTCTCCAGCTAGTACTACAATATCTGTCGAACGCACTTTCTGAAGAAGAACAGTTAACTGGTGGTAGAATTCATCCTCGATTGCATCCGGGCTGCAATCTGTCGAGCCATAGGCGGAAATGACGAAAAGACATCGTTCCTCACGCCGATTTCTTCTCACTCTGATGGAACTTTCTAATCTAACAGCACATAACCGACTGTTAATGAGGATCCAATCGATTAGTGCTGCCTCAGCTCTAGCGCTTAGTGCGACACCAACGCCAGCAAGATCAGAAGAAGATGCCACAGAGTCCTCGGATAAACGCACGTAAAACAAGCTTTTTGAGGTAACAGATGGAGAGCGAACTTGTAGTACTTCATCAGAGTCTTGAATACGGGTCTCGGATAGACAACACACATCAATATTAAGACTTTCCAAAGACATAGCCAGCCCTATCTGTTGTCCGACCTGCATAAGTGTGCGAACGTTGAAGGCAGCCAGTTTGAATGGTGCACGTGGTTTCAGAAAAACTGCTTCAGTACTCATATTCGGTAGTAACATACAATTTTCAACCAGGCAGTGACTCGAGAACGTTTAGATAGAGCCGAATTTCCACCATAGGCGAGCTGCTGTATAAGTCCAAAAATAAGGATAGATAGAGTAGGAATAAAAGAGAGTGAATAAACGACGTGGTAAATAATCATAATAATAATAGTAATAATAGTAACAATGATAGTAATAATAATGATAATGTGAATATGGTTGTTAATTGGAGCAACAAAAGTATTTTCCATAAATGTCAACATTTCATCATGATTTTTGTGTGTGGGCTGTGATACTGTCCGGGTGCACAAACAGAAGCAGGTGGTTTTCTTAAGGGGCCACACTCCGAGCCTTCGATCTGAACGTCTGACCCACAAGGCAGTGGAGTATCCTGAGGAGATGCGGTCCCATGGTAGCCGGTGACTAACGATTGGTTCATACGCCATTTGTTCCCGCAGTATACTGGAGCTTATGTGCACCATTGGTTTGGGATCCGGTTAAAGCGCCGGACATTCGCTTTTCGTCCTCTCATTTTCGTAAACAACAGCCCCACCACGAGAAGGCAGTGAGTAGGACTTCCCTGGCAGAGGCTATATACGCGTGGCCGTGTGAGAACATTTCGAGACGAATGGGGGCCCGCCCCACTCTCGGCCATACCAGGGCATTTGGGGGCATATTGATTTACTACAATGACATCCAAGCCATGCAATCCGCACTTAATCAATTGGCATTTAGTATCCGTAGGTGTGGTTTGTGCTTTGCATGTTCGAAGTACAAAGTGCTTCTACAAAACTGGCACTCATCCTGGGTAGTGAGCAGATAGAAGTAGTGAAGTTCGTGTATCTGAGTAAGTGCTGGTGGTGGCGTGAGTGATTAGATCAATACACGTATAGTGAAGGCCAGAGCGGCTTATGCCAATCTGAGTCATCTTTGGAGCCTTTGTGATGTTAGTCTGGCTGTAAAAGGTAGGATCTATAACGCGTCGGTGAGAGCAGTTTTGCCCTATGCTTGTGAAAACGGCCTCTCCGAGTTGAGGATGTTAGACGACTCTTTGTGTTCGATCACCGTTGTCTTAGAAGGATTGCTGACATCTAGTGGGAACACCATATTAGTAATGAAGAGTTGCGGCATCGAGTGTTTGGAGTTCACCCATGTACTCCAGAAAGAGAAGAGGTATTTTATTGAGGCTCTTGAATGATGGCTGGTGACGGCATGCTCTATTTGCGTCCACCGTTCTGATGTTAAGGATCATCAGTTTAGATAGCCTTTCCTCAGGCTTAAAGTTTGTACTTACTAATAATAATCAGATGCTTGGCCAGAATTACAGCAGACAGTAACCGTTTTCTGTTTGCTGACCTGGGTCGCCACCTATGTGTTTTGAATTTTGACTTGGCCCACCACCTGGCCTAATGAAGGAGGTTGTAAAGTTTCCTGTGAAACGCCGTCTCATGGTAGACAGCAATAAAAATAGGTTTATACATTATCCGACTCCGCAGGATCCTAGAGCTTATGTGCACCTTTGTTTTGGAATCAAGGTTTTCCAACTCCTGTGAGTGGATTCTCTGTATCCACTGGCTTAATATAAGAGCTGGATGATTGTTTTTCATCCTCTCATTTTCCGTAAAAAACAACCTCACAGAATGAGGGTAATGAGAAGAACTTTCCTGATAGTGGCTATAAACACATGAACATATGAAGGTGCTTTGAATGGACTCTCCCAACTCTCGGCCATACCAACGGATCCGCAGCTGATTGGTAATGTCCTTAACTGCTACACTGTATGATGAAGTTTCAAATATCTGAGAAACGAGTATATATGCTCCTTAAGTATCGGCCAGGACAAAACTTTCACGTAGGATTTTCTGATTGCCCCCAGTTATGTAATACAAAATAACAAAATTGAAGGTATGAAACAAACTAGAAGATAAAAGCAAAGTAATAACCGAGGGGAAGAAAAGATATGGAATAACAAGGTTATTATAATTTCAAATAAGAAAAATAGTTGCGAGATCTGCAAGACTGGACCGATTTTCTAGTCATACTAATCAGTCTGCATCGCAGGCATATACATCAGATTTACAAAACTGACTATCACTCAATAATTTCGTAGATTTCTAGCACATTATGTTTTGACCAAACTCAACATTTTTCGTAATTTCTATTTCTCAACCTAATGATGATAAATCAGTATGCGCATCATGTACTTCAGTAACTGAAATTTCACTTTGCGCAAAGTTTAGTGGTAGACAATGCCATATTTTCACTCGAATGGTTCAAAAGAATTAGTACCTATTTACCCTATCTACTAAGACTATATTTTTAAATAACTTTGGATTAGAACAGATTACTCAGGAAGGAATTATTAACTATTGTTCGATCTTGGAGCTTTACTTAGGCATACAAATTAAAAAGAAAAAGTCTAGTATGTTTTGAATGTCTAATTAGTAAGGAAAAATCAAGCTTACAAGATTAACAGTAGAGATATTCACTCAAGGGAAATCTTGATTTTGTTGCAAGCAAAATGCTCGATTTGGAAGGTAAGATATGTATGTGTCGTGTTGGATCTACAGTTGTTTAGTAATGATAGTATAGAGATCTTATAAACTACTGAAACAAAAAGACTTTTGACACCAAGCAGTTAGTAAAATACTGTAAACGAATAATTTGAAATTTTATAGCTCACGACAATGGGTGTGGAAACCTGATAAACCAGATATCACGATTAAAACACGTACTCGTGTCGCTTCTAGCAAAATTAAAAATATTTACCCCAATACAAAACACTATGACATCACCACACTACTCACTAACCTTCCCCATTGCCACTAGATATACTATTCATCAGTTTTGGGTCACCAGAAGCTGTGCGTCGATGTGTTAGGGAAAAACGAGGAAAGACAGATTTGTTTGAAGAACAAGAAGTTGAGCGAATATGATGAGAAGTATTGACAGACTTGTATTTTCTATGGACAATGCAAGGAAAAATATGATTTAGTCCGTTAATATGAAAATAATAGTACTAAAAAGTTAGTTTAAAGTATCTCAGATGATTAGAATAATCTAAGATTAATTGAAGTACAAAAGTTGTCCGAAAATAAATCTTTTACATCCATACTATTACAGTACATAATTCTCACCACTAGTTATATTCCTCAGTAGGTTATTATCGCGTTCTTCATATCATCAAAAAATAAATTACAAAACATCGTCTCAAATAATAAGGTAATAAACTATAATCTTTTTACCTTATGAACTCCCCAAAAAAAGTTTCTGGGTTTCAGAACGAACAACACTTCATGTTAAGAACCAGATCATACTTGGGAGAAATTTCAAATTAACGTTGTATGGAACTTATTAATAAATCTGTAAACATTGTTTTTCCTAGGGAATAACTATCTTGAATGCTTATCTACAGTAGCTTTGTTCTGTACTAGTAATTCGTTCTAGTTGTACCCAAACACTTTCATCATTTAAACAACCAAAAGTTCAATTAAAAATGAACTGAAAATGAAATCATACGAAAGGTTACCCACACAAGATATGCGGTTATCATGAAAGTGAGTCTGATAAATCGTAGTTAAGCGTTAACGCTACATCCAGAGGTGCATTGAATAGAAATGTGAATCTGCTCGTAATAGTCACAAGAATATAGAACTTAATGAAAATTCTGTGTGATCGAACGCATTTGCAGAGCGTTCAACTACGAAAGCAACAAAAAGTATATCTTTGGAAAATAGGCATACTAGAAAAACGTGCTAAAAAGAAAAACGAAAAATTCCACATTAAATCCCGATATATGAACCTCTTTTTTAAAGTAAAGTAAGTGAATTCGCACATGAGGTAAATGGCGATTGGCAATGAGTCAAACGGATGTAGGGCAGTTCGAAAACAAGAAAGTATTACTTTCAGTAGTTATACTCTTACTGATCTAGGGTTGCAGTATAAGATAAAAATACATTATTCATAGTGTGACATCTATTAATCATCTAACTTATAATGAGAAAAGGAGTAACTAGGGTCACTGTTACGAGCAAAACTTGGGTACTACTATATAGGAAATATCTGTATCGGCTTTTCATTTAATTTACTCAATGGTACAGTGGTTTGTAGCATACTACTGTTTTACGGCACCTTATAAATTAGTAAATGTCTGCAAAGAATATGAGAAACGAAGGCCAGATTGGTCATACCTACTTTTGAGCTCTTGAAGTAATGTTAATAAATTGCAAATAAATTTAATTATGTTAAGTGTTTGGAAACGGCCAGTAGATGCTATGTTCTAAATTTTACTGATGCAATTGGGTCAGTAAGATGGAAAAGAGGTGGTACTGGTTGCTTTGTCGTGACCGATGTGTGCTTAATATGATTCTACAAGCTTTTTCAGATATGAATAGCCTATTAGTGAATTTTTTGAGCGGTTAATATCTAAATTTCTAAAAGAACAAGCGTTTTTTCAGTTGCGGATACCTCTGCTGATGAGTGTTAAACATACAACCTAATCCCACAACTTTCTTCCAGTCGTCTATAGCAATTCAACATCAAGTTCATCGCGATGCCAGTTCACATAGTTTACATACTACTACTGACTTGATCAACAGAATTTGGTTGGGAATAACCAAAAATACTGAGATTAATTACTCAATTTTCTTAATGTGTCTTCTCAATAGTCACTTACTTTGAGTACGTTATATCAGATGAGACCACACTAGCATCGTTTATTCCGTTGTCAAACGTTGTAGTACCAGGATGCGCAGGTGGGAGATGGGGAGGAAACGATAGCGAAGAATGAGAACACACCGAGTCCATTGATCGTAAAGTCATTAATGGAGTATTTGGTGTACTAGCAATAAGCCTCGAGTTATTGTAAATTATGGATTCATTGCTGGAATTCGGTCTAAAAGATATATGAGCACGATTTTCCAGATTGCAAGGATCATCATTTATTTTTATTGATGTACCCTGATGCACAGATAAAGAAGATCTCGGGGAAGAGGAAAGCAACCCAGACACACTAACTATTGACTGGGATTCAGGTGATGTTGATGTAGGTGAGGAAACAGATGTTTGATCAGAGGTGGTTTCTTGAGTAACAGACAAAGGTTCCGCAGAAAGTGGGCCAGTAAGAGGCAGACGACGTTTTGGATTTCTTGTAAATATATACGCACCTCGCGTCTGGGATAGGCTCCCAGCAGGTGGTATCTGGTTGACTATTAGGCGATGACGCCGCCCAGCTCCTGGAAAACCAATAAAATCGTTAGAATGAGAGGGTCGCTTTCGCAATCGCAAACTGATGTGCTGTGAAGAATGCCGCATTAAATCAGCAACGCGATAGTGAAGCCAACCAATCTGACAAAAAACAGAGATAAACAGTAGACAATCGATTATTATGAAAGTTCTATGAAAGTTTAAGGGGGGGACGTTTAGCTAAAGCTGAAGTCACAAAAAACGGATTTTAAGTCACACGAAATATCAGTCAATTAGTCAGTAACAACGTAGAACTTCATACGTTCGTACATCAGTTCAAGTTGCCATACCACATTAGCACACAGATACAATTGTCGATTCAAATCCCATAGTGGTAGAGGCAGTAAAAGTGTAAACAGTGATCGGAAACATCAGAGTTTGAGAATGTTATTCAAGGAGTATAATCCAGTGAAATAAATTTGGAAAGAGAAAAGAGGGACATAAAAAATTCAGAAGATTAGAATTCGGGAAAACACAAAGAGTAGATGTACCTGCGCCATTGCAAACGATTTTGAGCCATGTCATTCAAGGTCTCTAACCATCGGTTGTTATCGTCTCGCGGATCCCAACCAGGTAGTCTACATCTACCAACATGGCTCAGTCCACTTGCCAATGAATTCATGGATTTGTGCCATCTTTTGGTCTGGTCACCCCTAACTTTCTTCCAACCTACTCCTACACCATAAAACATCACTCGCCGGGGCAGTCGGTGGTTGGGTATACGTAACACATGCCCAGACATTTCAACTGATGAAGTTTCACTACTTCACCAATCGATTTGCCATCCTTACCTAGTACCCGTCTCCTAACAACTACATTATTTACTCGGTAGTACCAGGATATACGAGCAATGCTTCGAAGACACCTGTGATTGAATAATAGTAACCTACGAATATCCTCTACCCTTACCGGCCATGTTTCACTGCCATAAAGTAGGACGGAACGAACTGTTGCGCAGTAAACCCGTCCTTTGGTTGGTAGACGGATATCTCGCCTACGCCACAAATGACGCAAGTTGGCAAAAGCTAGTCGAGCCTTCTGTATCCGTGCTGAGATTTCGTCACACACCAGACCACAAGGGCTGATGAGACTTCCAAGATAAGTGAAGTGGTCGACACACTCAACTACTTCACTCCCTATCACTAGTTCGGGTGGCGGCGCAATCCAATCCTGAAACAACATTTTGCATTTCGAGGGAGAAAATCGCATGCCGAACATGCCTGCATTGTTGCTTAAGGTGGTCAACACGAAATATCGATAAGGAAGCGAGATTTTAGCAATTGAGTAGTAATCTTAAGTAGTTTCTGGATGTTTATAACTCAGAGTAATATGCTGCACATAGTAATTGCAGATACGGACAATTTTCAATATAGTATACTGTAAAGGTACATACATATTACATACTTACAACTATTTGTTCATTTACTTCGATTACTTCATCTCCTTTGTTAACTTTTCCAGTACTAAATGCTGGGGACTGAAACAAGACAAATAAAAAGTAGTATTCATAAATGACCTTCAAATTCTAAACATCTGAAAATAGCTGGTAAAACGTGTAGTAAATAAATAAAAATGCTATTTTGATCAACTGAAGCACAAATATTTCCTTAACGTAGTATCTTCTATTCCAAAAAAGCTCTGTCAATGCATTCTTACATACTCCTGTTACCCCTCGCGGAAAAACATAGGTCGCTCACCAGAATTCCTCATCCAACTCTGTCCTGGTCAATCCTTTCACGTTATTCCCAGTTGCCATTCATCCTATTTATGCCTGCTTCCAATTCTCAGTGTAATGTGTTTTTAAGCCTTCCTTTTTTCTGTTCACCTTCAGGATTCCATGTTAGTACTTGGCCTCGTGATGCAGCTTGATGTTTTCGTAATGTATGTCCTATTCACTTTCAACGTCTTTTCCTAATTCCCTCTTCAATTGGAAGCTGGTTTGTTCAGTTTGGGCACCCGGGCAGTATCACAGCCCTCACACATATCCAATGAGATCTGTGTGGCGCATATGTATTTGGTGCCTTTTTGTACCGATATCTATGTGTTAAAATAAATTAAAAAAATCTTTCACACAGTAGGTCGTTGCTGATGATATCGGGCTAACGGACATTGAGTATCTTGTGTAGACAATTGTTTAAAAATAATTGTACCTTTTTGATGATAGTTGTAGTAGTTCTCCGTAAAATAGAACTGTCTTGACGTTCGTATTGAAAATCCTGACTTTGATATTGGTTGACAGTTCTTTTAAGTTCTATATGTTCTCCAACTGTAAGAATGCTGACCCTGCTTTGCTAATTCTCGCCTGTACGCCTGCATCAGATCCTCCTTGTTAATTGATTGTGCTGATGTTAGCGGGTCATAGATTGAATTAAAGCATGTTCCGTGAACGATTGTGTTGGTCCTTGCTGATTGGCTACTTCTTATTTAATCAGCGCTAGTCCATATTTGAAGACTCTAGAATCTTCTCATGTAAAAACTATAAATATATTAACGTTTTTCTTATTGTGCTTCTTACTTCCATTTACCATTGTTATTTGAAATATAATTTCTTTCCCGTTCGACGGTGTTCTGATTTGGGGACTTGTCAAGTTAATTGATGGGAATAGCTGGGTTGTAATAAGAGGAATTGTGACAGCTAACAAGGTGCGTGTGTTTCCACCTCTGCCAGGGTGTGATGCCTCTGTAGTTTTCACATCTGCTCATATCTTCTTTCGCTGGCATCTTGATAAGGTGTTCTTCTTTCCAGTCTGTCGACACTTGTTCTTCCTCCAAAATCTTTCTTAATAGAACATGGAGCATGTTTGCAGTTACTTCTATGTCTGACTTCAGTGCTTCGGCTGTTATATTGTCAGGTCCTGCTGCTTTCCCACTCTTGATTTCCTCGATCGTTGGTGGAGTGACAGTTATAGGAGTGTCTGTATGTGCTACTTCAATTTCCGGTGGGTTCAGTGGGGCTGGTCTATTTAAGAGTTCCTCAAAGTGTTATACACACCTGTCCATCTGTTCTTGAATCTTAAGGATTGGCTTACCTCCTTTGTACTTGACTGGTCTCTTTTGTTTACAGTGTGACGCATATATATTTGGTGCCCCCTTGTACCAATATTTGTGTTCAAATAAATAAATCTTGTTTACTATATTTCCCTGCTAGTTTCTTCGTTGTGTTATATAGCTGCCTCATATTTCCTTCTCTCGCAGCTTTTTCCGTTGCTGTTGCTAGCTTTTCCACGTATTTTTGCTTGTCAGCTCTAATGTTTTTCTACACTTGCTTGTTTGCTTCTGTGTATTCAGCTTATGCCTTGACTTACTCTGCTCTTGTTCGGCTGTTGTTAATTGCTGTCTTCTAGTTCTTTCTTTCTTGAATCTTGACCAGGGTTGCGATAGAGATCCACTCCTTATGATGCTTTTTGTAACCCAAAACCTCCTGACACGTTGAAGTTAGTGCTTCTTTAATCGCCTTTCAAATGTCCTCCATAGTAGTTTTTTTGCTTTGGGTAGATCCTGTAAGTCTTGGAAACTTTTGTTGAGAGAAACCTAAAATTCGTTGAGTTTGCCAGTATCTCAAAGGAAGGATGTACTGAACCTTTGTAACGCTGTCTCTTCAGTTGTCTAGTGCTTCTTTAACTTCAGTTTCATCAGGGCCACAGCCAGGTGGTGATCTGAAGCTATGTTAGCTCCTCTGTTTGTCCGCACGTCTTCCACTGACCTATTAAATTTCTTAGTGAATCAATAATCATTAATGTGATTCTTTATAGTGTGGTCCGGTGAGACCCATGTAGTTTTGTGCGTGTTAAGTCTCCCATCGGGATAGTCAGGTACTTTATCGGGCACTACTCTATGATCGACTGAAGCCTCGCATAAAACTGATTTTTATCATCTTTACTACAATCGCTAGTAGGTGCATAGCGCTGGACAATATTTATTGTGATTTCCTCCTTTTTGTTTCCAAGGTTGCTTTGATGATTATGAATCCATGAGGTTTACATCCTATAAGTGCTCTTCGTGCTTCTCAGGACAGTATCAGTGCAACTCGTGTGTGCAAAGCATTTCCTGCTTCATGACAGGTGTACAATATTTTTTATTTATTTGAACACATAAATATTGGTACAGGGGGGGCACCAAATATATATGCGCCACACAAAACAATGATAATTTGAAGAGAAGGAGAAAAGAGAAAAAACAAGTAATGAACGTAAGGAATTATAAAAAAAAAGAGAGAGAGAGAGAACAATGGTGGGGGAAACGGAAAGGTACAATCAGAAGAGATCTTTCAGTTAAGGAAGATACAACCACTTTTTATGAAGAAAGTAAAAGAAGGTTACAGCACGATCGCCACTGGCTTCTATTTTGAGCCATATCTGATAACGTCTTTAGCCACTGCGTTACACCGTCTCTCGGACCCCAGCCAGGGAGTCGTGAAGGACCAACAAAAGCCAGCCCTTTGTAGCTTTCTTTCATATCACGACACCATGTCATATACTGACCACCTCTCCTCTTTTTCCAACCAGTTCCAGAGTCGGCAAATAATGCACGACGTAAAATTCCCTGGGACGACATTCGTAGAACATGTCCAAGCCACCGAAGTCGGTGTTTCAAGATGGTGACACCAATTGCATTATCGTCTCTGTGCCTGAACACTCGATGCCGAACCTCTGCATGACTGACACGGTGTTGTCACTGGATATCAGCGATCCATCGGAGACAGCGATGATCGAACACAGAGAGTCGTCTAACATCCTCAACTCGGAGGCCAGGTTTCACAAGCATAGAGCAAAACTGCTCTCACCGTCGCGTTGTAGATCCGACCTTTTACAGCCAGACTAACATCACGAAGGCGCCAAAGATGGCCCAGATTGACATAAGCCGCTCTGGCTTTCACTATACGTGCATTGATCTCATCACTCACGCCACCACCAGCACTTATGCAGATACCTAGACACACGAACATCTCGACTACTTCTATCTGCTCGCCATCCAGAGTGAGTACAGGATTAGAATCCTGCCAGTCTTGTAGAAGAACTTTGCACTTCGAAGGTGCAAAGCACATACCATACCTACGGACACTGATTGCCAACTGATTAAGTGCGGATTGCATAGCTTCGGCATTCTCGCACAGTAAGACAATAACATCCGCATATTCAAGGTCGAGAAGTCTTTCTCCAGGCAACAGATCCACTCCACCATTACTTACATCCGTCAGAGCTGTTTCCAGAATGTCATCGATGGCAAAGTTGAAGAGGAATGGTGAGATTGTGTAACCATGCCTAACCCCACTGCTCGAATGGAATAGTAGAGAAAGGTGGTTGTATGCCCTCACTCTGCCTGAGGTAATTGTGTATAGGGCTTTTAGGATGTTAATAAACTTCTCAGGCACACCCTTCTTCAATAGACAATCCCAGAGAACAGTTCTGTCCAACGAATCGAAGGCAGCCCTGATATCAAGAAACACTACGATTGTTGGCCTTTGATAAGTATGGCGGTGTTCTAACACTTGGCGGACGGTGAAGATATGATCAATACATCCTCGACCAGAACGAAACCCAGCCTGCTCCTCGCGAGTCAATCCTTCTCGGGTTCTGAACAACCTACGAACTATGACGGAAGCCAATAGCTTGGACGCAATCGGAAGTAGACTTATCCCCCGATAGTTGTTACAGGAACAACGTGAACCCTTTTTAAAGATAGGGACAACTATCGACTCATTCCATGACGTCGGTACACTCTCTAGTTCCCAGATCTTTGTAAACAACGTCGTCAGTCCCTTAGTCAGAAAGTCACCACCATCTTTAAAAAGAGCCGGAGGTAAGTCGTCTGGGCCCGGTGATTTGTAACGTTTCAAGAGTTGGAGTTCCTTGCGGACTTCCGCCTCATTTGGTGGATCAGTCGTCATCGGCCATAGAGGGCGAGACAGTCTGACCGATGTTGCCGGAGCAGCAGGCCAGTGGAACTGCCCTTCAAAGAATCCTGCCCATCGTCCAAGACGTCGATGGATGTTGGTGATTGGCGTTCCGTCATCCTTGCAGATTGTTTCGCTGCCAGTGGCTCGGATGAGTTGGAAGAGCTTCCGGTAACTACCAGATGCAGCTGCTGCTTCCAACTCACTGGCACGCTCCGACCACCAGACTTCACGGTCCTTACGCAAGCTTTGCCCGTTTTCATTACGTAACATCCTTCGTCTGTGGTCAAACTCACGGTCACCCGGAGTAGACCGATGGGCTTCAATCAGTTGTAAGGAACCAGAAGAAACCCAGTGCTTGTAAGCGGGACGTTTCGCAAACCCACAACTGACTTGACCCGCCATTTTCATGGCGTCATGCAATTGCAACCAATGCTCATCTATACTTTTCGGTGGAATGGTAGCTAGCCTAGAAGCTAGCTCGGTTCGGTACATACTAGCAACAGAAGTTGCAACCAGCTTGCTAACATCAATCCTGTGGTGGCGGTCACTCCGTTGTCCACTGAAAAGTAAGGTAAGATTGGCGCAGACCAGAGCATGATCAGATTCCAGATAGGTACTCCAAAAGGAGCGGCAGTCTTGTATACAACCACGCCAGCGGTAGCTGATCGCGATGTGATCAATCTGAGTCCAGGCTTGAGATGCAGAGGGAGGACTCCAGGTGGCACATCGGCGATGACTGTGCCGAAAGTGAGTGCTAGCCAGAAACAGGTTGTGCTCTGTGCACAGTTGCAGTAGACGTTCCCCGTTATCTGTCCTGCGACCAACAAGTCCCCATCGGCCACCTAAGCGACTCTCTTCTGTGCCTAGACGCCCGACCTGAGCATTCAAGTCTCCAGCTAGTACTACAATATCTGTCGAACGCACTTTCTGAAGAAGAACAGTTAACTGGTGGTAGAATTCATCCTCGATTGCATCCGGGCTGCAATCTGTCGAGCCATAGGCGGAAATGACGAAAAGACATCGTTCCTCACGCCGATTTCTTCTCACTCTGATGGAACTTTCTAATCTAACAGCACATAACCGACTGTTAATGAGGATCCAATCGATTAGTGCTGCCTCAGCTCTAGCGCTTAGTGCGACACCAACGCCAGCAAGATCAGACGAAGATGCCACAGGGTCCACGGATAAACGCACGTAAAACAAGCTTTTTGAGGTAACAGATGGAGAGAGAACTTGTAGTACTTCATCAGAGTCTTGAATACGGGTCTCGGATAGACAACACACATCAATATTAAGACTTTCCAAAGACATAGCCAGCCCTATCTGTTGTCCGACCTGCATAAGTGTGCGAACGTTGAAGGCAGCCAGTTTGAATGGTGCACGTGGTTTCAGAAAAACTGCTTCAGTACTCATATTCGGTAGTAACATACAATTTTCAACCAGGCAGTGACTCGAGAACGTTTAGATAAAGCTGAATTTTCATCATAGGCGAGCTGCTGTCTGAGTCGAAACGGATACAAAAAGTAGAAATAGGAGATAGTGAATAAATGACGTAGTAAATAATAATAATAATACTAATAATAATAATAATAATAATAATAATAATACCAGTCATTTCAATGTTAGTCGGAGAGAAACGAATATTTTCTATAAGCAGATAGTTCATCATGGTTTTAGTGTGTGGGCTGAGATACTGTCCGGGTGCACAAACCAAAGCAGGTGGTTTTCTTAAGGGGCCACACTCCGAGCCTTCGATCTGAACGTCTGACCCACAAGGCAGTGGAGCACCATAAGGAGATGCAGTACCATGGTAGCCGGTGACTAACGATTGGTTCATACGCCATTTGTTCCCGCAGGATACTGGAGCCCATGTGCACCATTGATTTGGGATCCGGTTAAAGCGCCGGACATTCGCTTTTCGTCCTCTCATTTTCGTAAACAACAGCCCCACCACGAGAAGGCGGTGAGTAGGACTTCCCTGGCAGAGGCTGTATACGCGTGGCCGTGTGAGAGTATTTCGAGAGGGAGGGCGAATCCTCCCCGCTCTCGGCCATACCAGGGCATTTGGGGGCGGTGTACAATAGCATCTCACATGAATCTATCCTTTTCAGTCCAGGTTTGTTCCAGTGACTTTCACTGATTCTAAGTATCGTCAAGTTGTATCTCCTCATTTTCGTAGCTATTTGACTGGTCTTTCTGGTCTCCCACATTGTTCGAGCATTCCATGTACTTATTAATTGTTGCTCTGGTTGTTAGAAGGGGCGTCGGCCTCATAACTTCTGAAAAATATCAGCGTCATGATCACTTGGGAAGAAGACTCTTCAACTCAGATGGCAGAGTTTAAATGGTTTAATTTGTTTATTCTGGTTAGTGTTTTTTGGCAAGATTGATTTCTACGGGATGAAAGTGCTGACCCCGTTCCCAACCCTCCTCCTTTACCCGAACTTGAGACCTCAAGTACCCCTAGAAGAGCTACAGGCGTTGTCGATGCATTCAATCCGTTAAAAATACTGTGGATGTAGTAGTGGTAGCCCATCCCTAAATTTTTATTGTGATCTTCAAAACACAAAGACCTATGACGTTAAGCAATACGTAACTAAAATGAAAAAGCAAGATCAGACATGAGACTAGTGATCATGTATAAAAGTAGATTTTGAGGGTTTAACTTTGTTTTTCCAAAAAATGTTTATTGTTTAATAATACGATCGCCAATGGTTTCGGTCCGAAGTCAAACTTGAAGTCAGAATATGTGACTAACTGGTTCGAAGACGAGTTTTTTAACTACTAAGAGGCCACTTACTTATTTGTAAAAGCGGTTCGGAATTACGCTAAATCTTATTCGAAAAATAGGTGAAAAATAGAACCCATTATCGACACTACAAAGTAAAGCAGAATAAATTATGATGATAAACTACATGTTAGTCTACTTACCTCATCCTGAACAGAAACAATTACGTGAATATTGTTTATCGTGGACCGAAAATTAAACCCCTAAAAAAGGAATATGAAAAGATATTTAATGAAGAACTTTTAATCAAGTAGTAATCGTGTGCTACACGTTTACACCACTTTACAGATAAGTCACTATGCAAACACATGAAAATAATAACAGAATGTAAAAAATAGTTACTACTAGTAAAAGATTTATTAAAACAAATACTATGTGGCCACAATGGTCCTTGCCATTTTAAACCCGATGAAGTACTTAGAATAACATGGATAAAAAGGTTCCACACTAGTACAAGCAATGGATTTATGACAAAGTCAATCTAAGAACAGTAAAATATTGACTGGTTTCGTCAGATAATGGGTTTCCACTCCAAACATCCATAAATAAATCGGAATCAAACTTGGTAAACGGTTACTAACTCACTAATAATCCATTTAAAATAATCTTAAGTTTGAAAGGCAAGCAGAATGACTTAGTTGATTTGTTCATAATCGCTGAGACTGATTGTTTCACAACGGGCTTTCATTCCACTTCGCAACAATTATTCAGGAGTAATGAAATTTCATCAGTTGAAATGTCTGGGCATGTGTTACGTATACCCAACCACCGACTGCCCCGGCGAGTGATGTTTTATGGTGTAGGAGTAGGTTGGAAGAAAGTTAGGGGTGACCAGACCAAAAGATGGCACAAATCCATGAATTCATTGGCAAGTGGACTGAGCCATGTTGGTAGATGTAGACTACCTGGTTGGGATCCGCGAGACGATAACAACCGATGGTTAGAGACCTTGAATGACATGGCTCAAAATCGTTTGCAATGGCGCAGGTACATCTACTCTTTGTGTTTTCCCGAATTCTAATCTTCTGAATTTTTTATGTCCCTCTTTTCTCTTTCCAAATTTATTTCACTGGATTATACTCCTTGAATAACATTCTCAAACTCTGATGTTTCCGATCACTGCTTACACTTTTACTGCCTCTACCACTATGGGATTTGAATCGACAATTGTATCTGTGTGCTAATGTGGTATGGCAACTTGAACTGATGTACGAACGTATGAAGTTCTACGTTGTGACTGACTGAATTATTTCAGACTACGAAAGTACGTTCTAGATTTTTCTAAAATACGACTTAAGTACCTTCATTTTTTAAGAGAATGCTTTATTAACAACAAACTACTTATTTTACAGATAGTAGATCTGCATGTTATAAATTAGGATATATAGCAGCTATGGCGGCCTACAATACCCTACCGAGGAAAACTGGTTGTTAACCTTTTTATTTTTATAGACTTAATGCACGTTAAGTCTCAGAGTTTGTACGACACAAAAACGTGTAATCAGAACCTAGAAGTATTGAATGAAGTTCGTCGAATCACGAGGGCGCACTAACAAATGTCGTAATTCCAGAAGATTTGGGAGTAGTGGTTATAAAGAGTGACCTTATAAATCAATTATAAATTAGCTACTCACCTAACGGACTATGAGAGAAATTTCCAGCATGAAACGGACTTCAATCTCCGTAAAAACATCAGTAACATATCAATTAAGTATAGTTGAAACGTAACTCAGGTAAACCAGTACTCAAGTATATAAATAGCAAACAATACAACTGATATCCATAGACGCACAAACAAATATTTATACACGCTGATTAAAGTAAAATAATGTAACATATCACAATCGGGATATAAGGTATTAAGGAATTTCAAAAGGATGCTTACAAAATCAGCAGAGTCAAGTTTTCTTATTTGTACCATTTCGATGCCACATGGAGTTAGTATGATAGAATCACCACAGTTTTGCAGGACATCTTCGACACGGATTCGCATTGGTTCAATCTTAAATTATGATAATGAGTTTTCCGACATACATAATCGATTATCTCCTTAAAATGTTCATTGCATTGAGTACTTATAGCCTGTTGAGATAGCCTATTGGTAATTATAGCATTCTCGACAAGAAATTGTCGGAATACAACCATTTCGGGAAGAAGAGAGAAAGGGGGTCTAGCTGAAAATATTTACTGTGTTACATACTAACCGCTCTAGCCAGGACGCAGCATTTCCAATCGTAGACATTAGATTCAGTATACAACTGAGAATGTAAGAAACAGCTCCCTGAATATCTGAAAGTATCCCCGGATAAGGACTATCAGCATCTCGTCTCTTAGTTATAGCCATAAGAGAATTTATTGCAGTAACAATGCATGTACACGAACGTGAGACGCGCAATAAAACTGACTGAAGTGTTTCATTATCAAAAGATGAAAATTGGTATTGCAGTTGCTTGACTTTCTCCAATATGATCATCTGATGGCCAATCTTGTGAACTCCATACTTGTCCAAGACATCAGCAGTCAGGGAGCTAAGCCACTTTCCACTTATATTTTTTGCACTGAATGCAGATAGATACGGCTCGAGAGCATCGTCCAAACCTTAAAAAAGTTTATTTACAGTTTGTTCAGATACCGGAAAGCCAAGATATGACCTGAGTGGTTGTCCAACTAAGATACGATTGTGGTTTCTCGAATTTATCCATTACAGCGCATAAGGTCGACAATTTGATTTGTTCAACAATACAATATCCAATGTTGTAGTGACCAAATGGTTCAAATGGTTGTGGACGGGACACGGGCTTCTGTGTCTAGTAACGATGGATCACCAATTACTTCAGGCAGGAAACTAGGTATATTAACGATAAAAGAGGAAACTTTTGCGCGCTATTTAAAAAGGACAGTGGTATTGTTTCGCGTTGAATTAAATTTTTTGTCTTGATCGTAAATTACTCCTCAGAACGGCTTTTTACACTTTAATTGAATCTATTCCACTTAAATTGATACTGTAATTGAGTGTTTTGATTTTGCTTTTGTGTATTTATTGCACCAAAGCATATATGGTCGACTTTGACTTAATTCATTTAGTTAAACTTTGAGAGTTCCTTTTCATATCCAGTTTGTGTCGCCATTTAAGTTGATTTTTAAGATGGTCAGCCCTGCTCATAAGTGTGAACGGCCATATTGCTTATGCCCCGTGGAGGAAGGAATGCAATGTGATGAGTGTAATAGGTGGTTCCATAGGATGTGTATCCGATTAAGCCCCACTTCATATAAATGGTGCTCAAAGCCCAACTCTCATTGGCTTTGTATGTTTTATTGCTCGAGAAAAATATTAATTATCCAGGAAGCAATTAGCTTCATGGCGTTGGCCAATAAGAAGGTTGACGAGGGCTGTACTGGTACCATGGGTACTGATGGCGAGGATTGCGTCATTGTCGTAAGTGTTATCACGGCGCGGGCCAGACATCCAACTGTGCAACTTGCAATTGAACCTTCTGCCTCGAAACAATTAATGAGCGACACGTCATTTGACATTGGTGGCCAAGTTGCTACTGCAGCGACCGGTGATTCAGACAAAACAATTACCGTCCCGAGTAGTTCTAACGTAAATGCTACGACTGGTGAGGAATGGATGATGAAAAAACGCAGAAGAGTAGAAAGGATAGCCAAAACCGACGACCGTTTACTTGATAAGTCCTTGGTGGACTCACAGACTACTTCGCCAAAGTCCCAATGTCAGGCCTCGTCAAACATTGTTGTCAGCCACTCGCTCGACTTCTATGACTGTTACAATGAAAATTAATTGTAAGATGCCAGTAGTTAATATGCGGGATCTAACATCATGATCGAAAGCCGTTAGCACGATTTCAAAAGAAGTTAAACCCCTTCCTAGTGGAAGGGATTTCAGGGGTACATACCACAAAAGTAATACGACTCGGTAAATGGGTTGGACGTGAGGTCTATCCAAGAAGAATTTTGAAGTTGGTTCTCGGGAATTTCGAAGAAGGAGACATGATATTATATAACGCACAAAACACTATTGATTCAAATATTCGTATCCGACCAGATTGGCCGCTTGAGGATCGAATCAAGTGGAAGAATGCTCTTACGGAGTTGAGAACTCGCAAGTTAAATGGCGAAACTAATCCTATCATTAAGGGTTTTCGGGTAGTCAGGTCTTGGGGGCCAACGCTTCCGAGGCATGTATGGGTAGAACGAATGATTACCAAAACACCTTAAGTGTGTGTTACACGAACGCCCGTAGTCTTAGGAATAAAACGTCCGAGCTAAGTCTGATGATGAATGAATTAAGTCCCGATATAATTGTTGTTACAGAAACTTGGTTCACTATAGATATAGAATGTTCTTCCATCATTGCAGGCTGTATCAGTATTAGAAGTGATAGAGTTTTAAGTTGCAAGGGAGGAGGCATAATATTATACTTTAAGGATCACTTTCGTATACAATCAATCATATGGAAGGCGCATGTTAGTAGTAAATGTGAGGTAGCATGTTATAAAATTAAATCTAGAAATCGGTTAGTGACTATAGGAGGAATATGCTGTAGTCCATGTTGTCTTGCTGACGACTTTACCTTGAGACACATCTGTTTATGGAGTATGGCAGAATGTTGTCTCATCATTTGGGACTTCAACGCATCGCATATCAACTGAATAGAGCTTACAGCTCTAGATGGTGGTTTAGATAGCGACATTTTATCAACCATCATTCATTGTGCACCTGTACAATGTATCGCGAAACTGACACATGTTGACTTGAAACATGATCCGCCACTGCTGTGCCTTGCCCTCACCCACCACTTTAAGGATGACTTTGATATTCAGCACCTTCCCTCACTAGTGAACAGTGATCATGTTGTACTTCCCCTTCAGTTTCGGACACATGGTATACAATTTTTGTCTGCCCCGCCCCGTCCCAATATCTGGCGAGCTAATATTCCGGCAATCACAGACTTGACTATGTCGACTGACTGATCAGTCGACGCAGATGGATCGATGGAAGACGAATAGAATAAGTCTAAGGTTACAACGGAGTCCATAACATTGCCGTTTATTCTATGGTCAACACGTAAGCTATCACACTGCCCTCCGTGGATTAATAAGGAAACCCGGAAGCTGTTGAAGAGTTGGAAACACTTCTGGGACTTATTCTTGTCGACAGGACACGCATCATTCAAGTGTGAATATCGAAAAATCAGGAAAATATGTAAAAAGATCATAGCTAGATCCCGTATTATTTACGAATGACAGTTATATCATAGCTGCACTTGTCCGATACCACTGTTTTCGTCTGTTAAATGGGAGAAAAAACGAAGTGATGGTATTCCCCCTTACTGTTACACGAAAATTCAGATTTACTAGCTGAATCAGATCGTGCAAAAGCTGAGACATTTTCAAACTATTTTAGCAAAGCCTACCCTACGTTTATTGTAACAAATACTTGTCCCAATCACATTGAGATACCAGCCATCGAATCTATACAGGTAACTGAGGAAACTGTCCTTCCATTGATAATTAACTTACAAAAACCTTGTAAGATACCGGGTCCTGACGGGTTACATCTACGGCTGTTGTCATCTCTTGCGGACATTATTTCAAAACCGCTCGCGACACTTCAACATGTCCCTTTCACTCGCTCAACTCCCTAGGGATTGGAAAGATACTATTGTCAGTCCTATATTTAAGGATGGTCAGAGACAGATCGTATCTAATTACCGGCCTGTCAGTCTGACTAGCATTGTCGTTAAGTTACTTGAAAAGATAATTCGGGTTAGGTTGCTAAGCCACATAGATTCACACAATATGTTAGCTCCTGAACAACATGGATTTCGTGACAAGCGTTCATGCTTGACTAACTTACTTATTGCGAGAGAGGATTGAACAGCAGCCTTAGATAAAGGTCTGTCTGTCGATGTTATATTCATAGATTTTAGCGAAGCATTTGACAAGGTTTCACACTTAGGTCTTATGCAGAAGCTCTCGAACTTTGGAATAATAGGTAATGTACAGGAGTGGTTAGGAAGCATTTTACGTGACCGCAGACAGAGAGTGAGGGTCAATGGGACGCTATCCGATTGGGCGCCGGTCAAAAGTGGTGTACCCCAAAACACCACCTTAGGCCATCTGCTCTTCCTTCTCTACATGGATAAGTTACCACTGTTGCTTAAATCGTCGGCATTATTGTCTGCGTATGACGTGAAGTTCTGGAGAACAATAAGAAGTGAGGTTGATCATCTGGATCTTCGAGCTGACTTAGACGATTGAGTTAGATGGGCTGAAGGTTGGGGTTTAGAAATAAATTCTAGGAAGTGTGCTAATGCACATGGGTCACGGCAATAGTTACCATTATGCTATTGATGGTAAACCTCTTTCATGCGTTCAAGAACATAAAGACTTAGAAGTAATGATAAGTCATGACCTAAAACAACTACGCATTGCAACACAGCTTCTGTCGAAGGTTTTTGTGCGTTATGGCCACTTCGCCGAGCATTCAAATGCTTTGACGAGGAAATGTTTCGAAGTTTATATCACACCTATGTAAGACCACATTTAGAGTACTGTATCCAAGCAGCTAGCCCATCTCTAATAAAGGATATTAACTCACTTGAGCGTGTTCGGTTTGTGGGAACAAAATTAGTGAGTGTAGTGAACAGAACATCAATGGGGACAATCGAATGTATTTAACAACAAATTACAGAACTAGTTAGTAAAATCCAACAACCATATATGAAATGCTCAGTTTGTAAAATGTTCATCAATTGTCTCAAATGACTCAGAATCCCTTTGTTCTAGCATTTTCATACAAATTGCATTGTCTTCATTCTTTATTGTTTGATCTTCTTGTCTCTCCGCTGCCAGACATCCTGTTCATGACTCACGTCATATACTACTTATGTCTACATAAGTAGCACACACCACAAAAGGTCTATCTAAACCCCCTTATGATGAGCATTTAAACGCCTGAATCTTTTCTTCATATTGTATCGTAAGGTGCAAGGTGGTCTTATACTGGCATTACGTACCCTTAATTATGATTTGGGTGTTAATATGTCTTATCTTTTTGCTCCCTCCAGTACTAATAATCTCCGAGATCATAGCAAGAACGTTCATAAACCGCTATCTAACAAACTTAAAGTGAGGTTGCTTTTTCTCATCGAGTAGTCAATGACTGGAATGCCTTACCCGAACAAATAATAACAAACTCATCAGTGAATATTTTCAAGGAGAAACTGGACCTTCACTGGAAGGCAATCTGTTAGGATTAACACAGGCTCATTGACCTACTACCCTTATTACTGAATACTCCAGAAAGTAATAAACCATAGTAAGATATTATCCCTAATCCTCAAGTATATGTCAAGTTGCCTCTTAAAAAACTCCTAGAAAATCACTTGAGCTAGCTCAGCCGGCAGCGAATCCCAGCATTTAACTACTCTTAAGGAGTAAGCGTTTTGTCTACAGTCCGTTCTGCTATGTCGTGTCTCCAATGTTTGGGTGTTACCCCTGAGGTTTGCGTTGGAGCTAAACCTCAGTAGGTGTTTAAGAGAATGTTCAGAAGTGTTAAGAATGCTGTAAGTCGCCACAATTTCACCTCTAAGACACCTATACACTGATTGGTAAAGGTTAAGCAATTTGAGGCGGTCTTCATGAGGCTTGAATTTGAGTCCCCGAACTGATTTAGCGGCTCACCATCGGATACGT